AAATTTACATTGCAAGAGGATTATTTATAAAAATATATATCACCAGATAATTTATAAGTTTGAAATAGGGTCAAGGGCAGTAAGTGTGAATGTGTGTGCGTGTGTGTGCATGTGTGTGATATATCTCAGAAATCTGTATTCTTTAGAAATAAGATGGAAACTTTTCTGGCTGAGATGGCTTTTAGGAGCATGAGAGAGGTGCCTTTCAGTGCAGTGTTTTATGGTTTACATTCTGTAATTAAATGTGCCATGGGGTTGGGCATCAGGAATGCCAAAGTAAACAGAGAGGAAAGAATGTAGGACTAATCAGTAGGAACAAAGTTTGAACCTGGAGCTAAGGTAGGGAATTTCCCTAGCACAGAATTTCTTATTCCTGGTTAACAATATAGTTTCCTTCCAACTTACACTCCAACTTTTTTTTTTCAGGATTCAGATACATGAAGAACCCAAATTTACTCTGATATCACAATTCATTTTGTTAGGATGCTGAGACACAGAAGTTAGGTGACTTGCATAATAAGGTCAGTCAGTAATGGAAATCAAAGCAGGATGGTTCTTCCAGCTCATAGAAATAAAAAGAACATCCCCACGAAAATCTGACAAAAGAGAACAATGAGGAGCAACTAATTTTTCTGCATGCTAAAATCCATTCCAAGTCTGCTGTAACTACAATTGGGTGCCACTGATGCATAAATCCAAGAAGATGTTGCGTTTATGTAAATATAATGTTGTTAAGTTATCATATTAGGAAAAACTGTGGATTTTTCATCAAATGATATTGAAACAAGTGGGTACCTACATGGAAAAAGTTAAAAGCTTAAAGCCTTAAATTCTGATGGATGAAATACTTAAAGAATTAACTACTCAAAGGGAATGTGGAAACATTTTACTTTCTAGCATAAAATAAGACTCAGAAACCATCCAGGAAAGAATAAAATATTTGACCACACAAAACAGTCGAATTCTATTGTTCAGACTCAGAAAATGACCTCAAAGTAAAGGGCTCAGGAGTAGTCCCAAAAGCTAAGTTCCAGACCTTTTCCTGCCCCCGCTGTCTCTTGCCCCATAGTCTCCCATAAGGCAAGCCATGGATCTAGAACAACTCCTCCCTGAGGTAAGTCATGAAAACCAACCCCTCACCCAAGACAGCCATAACCTACAAATACTACTCGTCTTCCGTTGCCCTTCTGTCTTGAAGTTGGCCATTGAAGAGATTCTGGCCTACTTTGTCTGATAGTAGATCCTAAGACCCCATTCCAGCAAGAGTTCTACCCCACACCAGAGAAGAAGGAATGCTACACAGACAGGCCAAGAAGGATCTGAACAGAGAGGCCTGGCTGTATTTCTCCTCTCAGTCTATTATCATGATCAGACCCTTTCTGTCCAATTATACTTCTCCATGATTTACTGAACCTAAGCATAATAGTGACTAATTCATACCATGTCTCTGAGGTCTTCAATGTGAAGGTTCTTGTGTCATGAAAAACCATGATCAAATAAATTTGTTATGCTTTTTCTCTTGTTAACCTGTCGTTTAATATAGGGGTGTAGACCACGATGTGCAGAAGGAGATCACCCCCCTTTTTGATCCTGTATCATCACTGAAAAAATAAAACTCAATAAAAGACAAATGGCAAAGGTGTGTGTGTGTGGGGGGGCTTTTGTAAGAAAATGGACAAAAGATTATTATATAAGAATATCTTATATGTCAATAGGAAAGAGGCCAATGATTCATTAGAAAAATAGGTAGTTCACAGAAATAATAAGCACTTATGAATATTTTTTAAATGGACAACATTATTAAAAATAATTTAAGCACAAATAAAAACAAGTAAAAGTAAAATAACTTTTTTTACCCATCCAAGTGGCAAAGATCAAAGCATTTCATAATACATGGTGTATACATGTATTTACTCATACACAGTTAGTAGGAATGTAAATTGATGCAAATTCTTTGGAGGTTAATTTGGCAATATCTATCCATTTAAAATGAAGATATACTTTGAGTTTCACTGCTGGAATTTATACTACAGATGCAGATACACGTATGCAAAGATTCAAGTATAAGAATCTCATAGCATTAACAGAAAATATTAAAAACTACTTGCATACTTACCAATACAGAAGAAATAAATTGTTACATTCTCACAATGGACTACAACATGACCATTAAAAAAAAAAAAAAAAAACTATTGACAGATTACTGGTCTTTAAGTGAAAAGAACAACTTGTAAAACAATGGGAAAAATTGATTGCCCATGTGTATGTGTATATTTACATGTGAAATATATATATACAACAAGCAGATGGATATAAATGCTTTTGATGGCATATTAGATCTCTGGAATGATGAAGCACAAGTTTTTTCTCTCTTTCTTTTATTTGCTCTAATTAGTATAAGTTCTTGTTATTGATTGTTGTGAGGAGGGTGATGGTCTGGCATGGTAGAAAAATCTTTTCACTGCATAAACATCTTTATGACTTGAATTTTTACCAATTGTAGTAACAATTCATTGACGTACAACAAATTAGCACAAATTTAGTAACTTAAACAACACACATTTATTATATCATAGTTTCCATGGGTCTAAAGCCAGGTATGACTCAGTGGATCATCTGCTCAGGATCTCACAAGGCTACAATCCAAGCGTTGGCCAAGTTAAAAGGGAGGAGATACAGATGGAGAATGGCAAGGTTCTGTAAGAGCATGAGGACATGAAATTCTGCCATCAATCTGAATCCAAAGATCTCTCCCTCCCAATCCCTGGAATCTGTGTATATGTCACCTGGCCTAGCAAATGAAGCTTTGCAGAAAGTGATTAAGAACCTTGAGATGAAGGGATTATCAAGGATACATACACATAGGCAACAGATTTTTCCCACTGTTTTGCAGAGGGTGTACAAAGTGTGATAGCCTCGGAATGGTAGGACCTTTTCCAGAAGGGCCTGGGGTCCAAGTCACTTTTGAGGAGACTGGATTGCACAAGAGCAGCCTGTGCCAATCAGTTTAGGATCTATGGAAACATGAGTCTGTTTACTGGGGAGCCAGGTCCAACACTGAGAGACTATTGTTAGAGATACTGGCAATCAACTGTGGAATACCAGGAGGAGGGACCAACAGTATTTACACATGGCTCTCCAAGACAAACAGGGCCTCTGCACATACAATGGACCCTTCTATCATCTCCAGAATACTTTTATCATTGACATTAAGCTATGTTACACGTGAATACTCTGTTATGTAACCACTACCCAGTATTCTAGACTTCATTTATCATCAGATAATAGAGTCAACTTTCTCTTTGCCTCTACTTTATGTACATGGTATCAATATCACTGATCTAGCAAATGCATGGTGCTCAAATTAAGTCAAATGAATACTAATGAGTATGGGTGTGTGACTACAGATGGGTGCTTTCTTTGAGGAGGATCACATTATGTGCTGGGGCTGTACTCACGTTCTCCTGTTTAGGCATTTAGGGGGTCAATGGGATTGGGAAGTCCAGATATTGATGCAACAACATTAACTGGTGCTGCTGGGTGTGTTAAGTCAAATAACTCCTTGCAACTCCAGTTCAAAGGGTAAAATGCTAATATCATTATTACCAGGGAGTAAAGAAATGCCAAGGGGATGCAGATGGAAATGCCCTGAATTTATTCAAAGTGTAAATTAATTCTGGAAATTGATCATTCAGAGTTTCTCAGATCAGTGAATTTGCTGTGAACCTCTTGGTTTGGGTCTGGACCTTGATATATTGCTAGAATATGATGAAATGATAAATAATAGAGGCAGGTATGTGGACCCAATTGAGGTGCAGAATCTATGTGGGAACAGAGTAGTTTATTGGCAGCTCCCTGTCCCACCAGGACAATGAGCACCAGAGTCTGAGGGGCAGGGAGTCTGGTGCTGATGTCACACCAAGCCTGCCTAAGAATTTAATTTATGACAGAAAATGCTTCAGTATAAAAGCATACACACAGGCTGGGATTGTGGCTCAGCGGTAGAGTGCTCACCTCATACATGAGAGACCCTGGCTTCGATCCTCAGCACCACATAAAAATAAATTTAAGTGAAATAAAGTTATTGTGTCCAACTACAACTAAAAATAAATATTTAAAAAGCATACATGCTCATTTAAAACATGACACAATATAGAGAGTAAAAGCAGAAATTTCTCATGACCCTCAACTCCAGAGATTATCAACTACTTAGTAGTTAATGTTTCAATTTGTGTGTGTGTGTGTGTGTGTGTTGCTGGGAATTGAACCCAGAGCCTTATGCATGCTAGCCAAACACTCTACCACTGAGCCAGCTCAAAATTGTTTTCTACACATATCCACCTATGTATGCCTATTTTACAAAACTGGAATCATGCAGTTCTATTACTGGCTTTTAAAAAATATTTCATATAGACATATATTTTCACATGGATCTACCTCATCTATTTAATACTAGGCATTTGTACTCTATTGTCTGTACAATGAGTCAGGTTACTGATCCTCCAGTCAAAGACTATTAGGTGGTTTCCAATTTTGTTTTTGCCATCTTTTTTCTTTTCTTTTTTCAGTACTGGGGATTGAACCCAAAGCCTCACACATGCTAGGTAAGTGCTCTACTACTCCTAACCCTTTTTATTTTAAGATAGGATTTTACTAAGTAGCCCAGGCTGGCTTTGAACTTGTGATCCTCCTACCTCAGTCTCCCAAGTAGCTAGGGTTACTGGTGAGCACCACAGCATCCAGCTTATTTTTGCCATCTTAAGTAACCAACAAATCCCTTTCCTTTGTATACATACATACCTGCTTAGTTTCTGGAAATAAATTCCTAAAATTGTAATTTTTGGGTAAAATAGCTTGCACTTTTAAAATATGCTACAAAATTCTACAATAAAATTTACAATAAAATGTAAATTTATTGTTCTACCAATAATGCCCATTTCTTGATAGTTCCTGTTAATACTGAGTATTATAAATCTTTTTAAAAATTTCTAAGCAGAAGATAAACAAACAAGCCTCATTGTTTTATTTTGCATTTTAGTTAGATTGAATGTCTTAAGATTTCCAATTTAAATAGATTATTTTGAAAACATATAACCATTACAATACTTGAAATCATTTGCAATAATCAGAAATAAACTTTTCTTGGTGTAAATGAAGAGTTAAAAATAACCCTGTCACAAAGTATCTCTAAGTTCATTATAAAACTGCATAAAAATCAACCTCTCACATTGCAGATTGCATTAGAATTAAATTCAGTATGTCTTTCAACACATAAAAGAGAAAATGCATCACACAGAGGAAATTAGTAATTAGTGAATTCCTTAAGGGTTCTATCTTTAGAATCAATAACAGTTCAATATTTTCTCATTATTAAGATTATGATTTGGGCACAGAGAAGGACCCACAGGAAAACAAATGGAAATATGTCTGCACATTTATTACATATGCTATTACTGACTGGCTGTATGTATATTTTGCAGTCAGTACAACAGGGATCAAATAACATGACATTATTTGGCTGGATGCACTGGCACATTGGTAAAGATCCTGTTCTTTGTTAATGTGTAATGACATCTAGAAGAGGCACAAAATATACAAAGCATTGGACACTGCCTGCCAAATGATACATAAGCACAACTATTTTTGGTTCTGTACATTTCTAGTCAAATTCAGCTGGACACAGCAGGGAAGAAACCAGCACAGTTCTCAACTGTGTTTGCTCCCTGCAATTGAACTTCTTAGCATGGCCCCTGAACCAACCATTGAGGAGAAAGAGCTGCTTCTCCCCTCCACAAATCAAAAGATGTTGCTGGTTTCTAATTTCTAATTTTCTAGACATTTAGATATTCGCATTTTACTACTTAGCTGGTGCAATCATATGAAATAGTTTGCTTTTAAAGGAGAATTTAATATACAGCATAAGATACATCATTATTTATGCTTACAGTATTTAAAATATGGCAATGGTATCTAAAAGTTTTTACAGAATTTCATACTCAGAGGTTTGGGCACCACCTATTCTGCCATCCTGATGTTTTCTTGGTTGCCACAAAGTTGTGCAAGGTGCCTGTGAGCCTTATAGCTATTATATCATAAATTGGACTTTGTATATGCAGACTTTATGCATACTGACAATGTGAAAGGAAAAAAAACTGTTCTATTTTCTTTGCAACCGGATATAAAAAGCAAAATTACTAGAAATTCTCTTGAAAGTTGTAAAAGTATGGTTGCTAATCACAGGGCTTGTCCAATTTGAAGGCAGAACACAAGACTAAATGACCTCAATCATCCTTCAGTAGCTCAGGGAAACAAAGTCCAACAACGGAAACTCCTAGTATAAAAAGTGTGTTCTCCCATCTATATCTATAGGCCTGACTGAGAATACCTTGGGCTTTAGGTAAGTTGAAAATATAAACCTTTAGTGTGGGAGACCGCCCTGCCCATGAGCTGAGCATCCTCTCTCAGCATTGAGTAAGAAGGGTGTTTGGTCTGGCATTGAACACCATGCACTGTGCAAAGCAACTGACCTCCTTTGCTGGGCAAAGAATTTTGCTCTAGCCCTGGACTTGGGCATTACCCAATGGGATTGGACAACCCCCTTTTAAAACCTTATCCCCTGCCTTGTTTGGCGAGGAATATTCTCTCAAAACTCCTTTGTGTGTCCCCATCCCCCTATAAAAATAAAGAGATTCTGTGTGCATGCTCTCTTTTTCCAGCACCTTCCAGCCTGGAAGCTGACCCTTAAGATGGCAGAGCAGTCCCACACTCGATCTGAGACACTCATGTCCGTGTGTTGCGTAATTTCTTTGCTGTTTTCTTAGTTTAATGTTGCAGCCAGCTCCTTTGAACCCAGTTCATCTCATCAGTGCAGGTCCATGGCGAGTTTGTCCTGTCTGCTCTCTTTTCTCTAAGGCTCACCTTAGTTATCTTCTTGGTCAGAGCTCCTTCCCCAGGCCTCTGTGAAGACTCTAAGCTGTTACCAGTTGGCAACACTTGGGGATGAGCAGAAAATTTTCAGTGGAAGCAGTTTCTCCAAAGCCGGAAGGAATAACATAGCTCAAGAAAATAGCAGTCTGGGAAGTCAGATCAGTCAAACAGCCCAGAGAGACAGACAGTAAGTGAACAGACAATGTGTGGAGGATGGGAAAATAAGCAGGCAAACGAAGTACAATCCAACATGTGATGTTGCATTGACACAAATTCTTTCATTAGGAGCAAGAGCAAAGTGGTGACATGTGGAGATGATTGCTGGTTTCCTGGAGGTTCCAATCATAGCTTCAGGGACCATTTAAAGGAAGAGGAATGTTTCTGACAGTAGGGGTAAAAACTGAGATAGACCCACACGTGAAGTTTCCAGTTACTATTTAAGCAAAGAGTGATGGTCAAAGTGAATTCCCATTCTAATTAACAAAAAGTTGTACAATACCCCAAATGCCAACATGAAATTCTTAAATAAGGCCCTTTAATTTTTTTTGTTTAATATAAAGAAAAAAGTAGGAAGGGTTTTGTAATTTAGAAAATGTTACACAGATAAGACTTTATTTCCATGAATTTCTTAAATCAAATGCTTTTTAAAAATCTCTAAACAAATTTTCCCCATTATATAATGTACACTACTATACCACACAAATATACATAATCATTACTCTTAAAAAATAATAAATAACAGATGATAAGATCTAATAGACTGTAAAACATAACATATTGCAACAAATTTAACAGTAAGAAAAATGGTTACTTCTCTGAGGATCTTGAACCTCTCTAACAATTTAGAGAGTTCTCTTTAACTTAACAGATAATAAAACTCTGCTTTGGATAAGGCATTGCTTTCTTGGAGAATAAGGCACACATCGCTAGCATTATAATTCACAAATCTGTAAGAAAATCTGAAGATAAGAGATGGCACATAGGTCACAAAGAAAAGGTTTCCTCTGGGATACTGACTTTAATATCAAAGTAACATGAAACTATGGAAATATAGTCTATAGCAACTAAATTTTCCTCCTGTAATACATAGTAATCATTTAGTAGAAGATCCATCTGAAAGAACAAGGGAAAAAGCAAATTTCCTAAAACTACTTTATTTAGAAAAAATAGTTATATCCCTGAAATATCAGGAAGATTTTAAAAAGATGATTTAATTAGTACAATATTTTAGAACAGGGTATAGACAAAGTGATAGCAACTAAAACTATTTTAATGGCACAATCAGGAGTTTACCTTTAAAATGATATGTACCAGAATTTTGTTAATGCTATTTGTTAACAAACGTCTTTTTAAATTTGGTTATGTTTTTTAAAACACTAACATGAGATTCTTGAGTGAAGATACTAAATTTAGTAAATGTAACTACAGTTAACATGTTATAACTATATCTTAAATTGATTTCTGAAATCATAACCTAGGTCTAATGTGAGCCACTGTCTTTTATGAATGTTATGTCTTACGAGGGCTCTGAATCAGATTTTGCCAGTAATCATAACTCATAAAGTACTTTAAAAGTTAAGTTTCTGTCAGAATTGATATATGTGAAACAAATACATGTTAGCCCTCACAATGCACCTTATTCATAATCTCATTTATTTTGGTCACTTCATTGTTTCAACATTTCAAGAAAAAGTAGACCCAAATATGGTTAACTTTCCATAAAATTGTCATCCTAAAATTTAAGCTTTTCATCAGGAAATGGACTAATTTACAAGTATAATCCCAGACAACTAACTGGATGTCAATCTAACAAAACTACTAATAAAGCCACAGAAACACAAGCAGCAATAAAAACATATCATGGCATAAGTAAGAGTCTAATATTGCACTAGAGTGACATATATGAGATATAGAACAAATTTTTTTATGGTATTAGGGATTGTACTACCACTGAGCTATATATTTCAACTCTTTTATTTTTTTGAGAAAGGGTCTTGCCAAATTGAGGAACTTGTGATACTCCTGCCTTAGCCTGTAAGTCGCTGGGATTATAGGTGTGTGCCACCATACCCAACCACTATAAATAAAATTTTTAAGAAAATTATAGATAACTTTCTGAGCAAGAAGTACTCAAAAATTATAAAAATTAAACAATATAAGTATCTGTGTTTTAAAAATTCACTTTAATGTTGGCTACCCTTCTTTATCATCATCTGAACCATTTGCTTCTCTATGAGCCATGTAGTTACATCAGACATCAATATGAATTCCATGTTTTGAAGACATCACTTGTCGGGTCCCTGTTAAATACATAGCAAATGAACAGATATGAGGTAAAGATGATGTGGTTATCACATAAAGCCAGAATGGCAAAGGAGAAGTTTTTCCAAAAGGGCACATCCACAAGCCGTGACGAATTCCATCTCGAATATGGTGCGAGGTCCAGGATATGAATAACATCCAAGGAAGAAAACACCATGAATCTCTGAGCTTGAAAAGGTGCATAGTAAGCTTCAGGATCAGAACCACAATGGGTATCACAGTAGAGCAGTGAAAGAAAGGTCTTCGTGGAAGACTCAAAGCTGCCTGTGGGGGAAGCAGGAAGTATAGTTTCCTTCTTGGCAAAACAACACTTTATAGCTGCTTCTGAATCTTAACATATGCAAAGAAAATGTAAGGGAAGAATACCACCTCAGAATACATATGCCACATTTATATAAAGCAAAGAAGATAAAAGCATGAGCAGGGTATCCTTTGCATTAAAAATGAAATCAAGGTCTCAGGACACAGTGATTAATTTTTTAAGTTTTGTATTATTTGCTTAGAAAAGCCAAAATATAAACATAGTTTATATCCTAAATATATGGTTTGTGTAGTTCTGATTTTTTTAATTTAAGCTTTTGATTGATTGACACATAATAACTGTACATATTAATATGGTGTAGTATGACATTTTAATATACGCATGTGATATGTGACGATCAGATTGGGGTAAGTGGCATAGACACCACTGTAAACGTTTGTCATTTCTTTGTGCTGGAAAAATTCAAAATTCTTTCTATTAGCTATCTTGAAATATAAAGTTAATTTTTGTCAACCACAGTTACCCTACTATGCTACAGAGCATAAGAAGTTATTCTTCCTATGCAAATGCACCCCTGCACCCATTAACTATCCTCTCTCTGTCATCTCTACCTCCTATAATTTGAATTTTAACAATTTGCCTGGGACTCTAAGAGCAACAATAACAACAACAAAATCTCACGACCAAATAAAATATTCCTTATGTAATGAAGGCAAAAAAAGGAGAATGTTTTTATTATAACCATTTTGTATTAGCCAGAATACCTTCAAAATTTACTTACCATATTTAGAAAGAGCACATTATTTTAAACAAGTATTCTAAAATGGAGTTAAATAAACATCAATAAAATTTTAAAATCATTGCAAAAAATATAATCAATATTTGAACAAATGAAAATTTCAGGCTTAACCCCTGAATGATCTGTAAGATTTTGTTCCTATCCACTTTAAAGGCCAATTTGCAATTAGATGTCTCCTAGCAAAAAGAAAGTTGAGGACATCAATGATCTTATAGGTCTATGTCTCCCCACACATTCTCCAAAAACCTACAGAACAAGAAGGACAAGGAAAAGTATACAAAGCCCAAACTCTCAGCATAGCTAGAAGTCAGAGAATGCTCCATCTCCAAGGTATCTGTTAAGTATTAAAATAAACACCAAATCAATGGTCTCTCAAGCCCTCTCACCCCACCATAGCCAGAAAAAAAACTGTATTGAGAGAAAGGAAACCTAAGATTGACACAAAAGCACCATGAGAAAGAGAAATTCAATCTAAGAGTGAAAATACTAAAAAGGGGCCTGGTGACTACAGGGAAAGGATTTACCAGTGTACTTGATTCAAGGCTTTGAAAAGCATGGACTCTGGGGAAGAGAGTAAAAAAGAAGGGAAGGGGAAGGGTGCTCTTTGGAAACTGAGTGGCTGTTATGGTTTGGATGTGAGGTGGTCCCCAAAAGCTGACCTGTGAGACAATGCAAGAAGGTTTAGAGGAGAAATGATTGGGCCATAACCTTAACCTAATCAGTGAATTAATCCTTGATGGGATTAACTGGTGGTAGCTGGAGGCAGGTGGGGTGTGGCTGGAGGAAATGACTCATTGGGGGCATGGCTATGGGATCTATATTTTGTATCTGGAGAGTGGAATCTCTGTCTCTGTTTCGAGATCATCATGTGAGACTCTTCCCTCTGCCACACTCTTCCTCTATTATGTCTTGTCTTGACTTGAGCCCTGAGAAATACAGCCTACTATGGATTGAGACCCCTGAAACCATGAGCCCTCAAATAAACTTTTCCTACTTTACAGTTGTTCTGGTTGGGTCCTTTTTAGTCACAATAGCGAAATAGCTAAAACAGTGGTGAAGGGATAAAAGAATGAGAAGAAAACAAAAAACTGGTTCCCTGTTCAAAAAAAAAATCACATAAAAAAAAAAAAGTTATCCTCTTAAGAGACTGTATCTTGTCACACTGTCAAATCAGATCACCTTTAACTAGGAATACTGTAACCCATCCCCCATCAAGCTAGCATTCTTCAAACATCAGAATTCATTCCAAACTCGTCTTACTCCCCCTTCTCCTCCATATTTTAGGTTGTTTTACTTCTATTTAATTAGAATATATAACATTTCTGTATTATTATTCCACTTTTGTCTCTACCTTTGTAGTTATATATCCACAATACATTTGGTAAAACTATTAATGTAAAGGAAAAAATTTTAAGGCCTCTAAGCAAAATGACTAAATAACATAGAAAAGCAAGAGTTATTACAATGGCATTGGACTTAACAATGACAGCAAAACAAAGTAAGATAACAGAAGAACAGTATTTTCAAAATGCTCAGGGAAAGAAAATGTGAGCCAAGGATTTTATATTTAACCAAGCTGCCTTTAAACACCAAAGCAATAATAATAGTATGATATTAGCAACAATTTTAATATGTAGTATTTTTCTATTAGTTAATTGTTTCAAATAAGGAAGAAGTCACAAAAAATGTAATCTTTCTGAGAAATCTGTAAGCTTCACCCAAATAAGAAATGACTAAGAAAACCTGAGCAAACTGACTAATGATGAACATTTAATATTTTTAAGTGTAAATAAAAGACTTAAAAGTGAGGACAAGAGTATAAAAATAATATATAGATATTGTACGTTCTTAGAAGAAATAAAGCAACCAAAAAAATAGTAGGAGAAGAGGGGGGAAAGAAAAAAGTAAAGTGAGCTCTAATATTGTTGTTTAGCTGATAGCTGAGAATTAAAAGATACTATTAACAATTAACAAACAAGATAGTTAAAGGTTAATTAAGAAAGTGGAAGCCTATAAGTATTAAAAAGATATATGAACAGAAATAATACTAGAATATAAATATAAGCCTTCCTAAAGAACAAAAGAAATTTTAAAAATAAAATGACAAAGAAAGTACATCATAGAGATAGGAATATACCAAATATAATACACATAATTGAACAAAATAATGGCCAATTTTAGATTAAACCTATCAATAATGTTTATAAATATGAATGGGTTTATCTCACTCATTAAATGGGTTTATCTCACTCATTAAATGAAAAAGACCTTCAATTTGGCAAAACCAAATCCAATGATATGCTGTATATTAAGGGAAAAAAATAAAATAAAATTCAGAAAGGCCCAAAACAAAGGGGCAAAAGTAAAGCAGACAAATAAGAAATAGGGGTGGTGATACTGATATCAGACAATCATAATTTGAGTAAAAAGCATTAAATTATCTTTAAAAAGCCACTAAAGGGCTGGGGTTGTAGCTCAGTGGTTAGCTCACACAAGCCTAACATGTGTGAAACACTGGATTCAATCCTCAGCACCATATAAAAATAAATAAGTAAAATAAAGGTGTTGTGTCCACCTACAATTAAAAAAATATTTTTAAAAAGCTTCTAAAAATCTACATTTCACCATGAAAATATAACTAATGAATATATATATATATATATATATATATATATATATATATACCAAATAATACAGCAACAATTTTGATAAAGACATAAGGCAACATAGAAACACTCTAATAAATAAAGAGGCTTATATATAGTGCCATCCAAGAGAGATCAAGAGAGGAATAAGGAAAGGCAGAGAAGACACAAGCCATATAGTCAATAAAATTTATCTTACAGAATTATATACTCTGAAAACAGAGAAATACACATTCTTCTTCAAGTGTTCATGAAACATTTGAAGAAACCAATCACATATTAATGAATACAAAGAAGACAAATTTCAAAAAGAAATGCACAAATGATTAAAAATATTAAATAATTATATAAGAAAAAGGGCTGTACACCTTGAATTTTTTTTAATTCAAAAATAAGGACCAATGTAATGTTATGCTATATAATTTGTACATCATCCTATTAATTAAAACTTAAATTTTTTTATTAAACAACTCTTTTAAAAAAAGGAGAATACAAACAGAATTACAGGGTTTTTCAAAACTAATCACACACAAAAAATTCAAATTAGAAACCATGGAATACATTTAAAGTACAATTAGAGAAACTTTATAACCTTAAACCCCTATCAGTAAAAGTAACATAACAAAAATAGATGAATTATATTCCCAACTAAAGAGATTTCAAAAAGTGTAAACCAAAATAAAGTTTGAGGAATAAAATAGTAAAGATCTTGTTGTAGTTATATCATTCTTTCTAGTACTCTGCAATTACAAAGAGCACAAGAGTGAACAATGTGTGTGTGTGTGTGTGTGTGTGTGTGTACACTGTTAGAGGTACATTGAGAACCAGACAGAAAGACTTCTGAATAGATAATCAGCTAACTAAATTTGAACAATGTTCTAAAACTTTCATGAAAAGCAATATACATAGGAAAATGATAGATTTTATGGTAGCAGGATTATTTCAAGTAGATAAACTGTAATCTTTCTGATGTGAAAATAAAGTATACTGTACAGAAAACCACACATGATCATTATCAGAACCTTATTTCTGAATAAAGTTCAGATGAACAACAGTTTCTGATGGGTTTAAGAGAACTTCTACAGAAAACTTCACATCTAAATCAATTCATTTCCTTCCACCACAGAGCACTTTCATGCACTATAATAAGAAAAGGTAAGTTTGTAATCCTTGTTAGTAAAAGATTAATCATGGCATTGTTGAGAAGACCGATAAGACATTTAACAGGAAGCACATGGTTTTCACTGGCAGGGTGGGGTCAAGCAGCTTACAGTAAGCATTTCAGAAACCAACAACCTGACATCGAGATGATTCATGGTTATGCTCTGGATCTGTGCTGAGGGGTACTGATTTTTCACACTTTTATTTATGAATATAAAAAGATGATTAAAACAACCTCAATATATTCTTGTTGCTTGTCTGATTTCTGAAATGTCAGTGTAGATTCTCATGAATAGAAAAGGAAGAAAATGGCCTATTATAGAGGCAAAAATAGATCACTGTCATGAATACTTACTGAGTTTTGATATTTATTGCTGATAATCATGTGCCACCTGACAGTGAATGTGAAAAAACAATTCTAAAACTTCATTCAGTAGACCAATGTAATACTATGCTATAGGTTTTGTGCGTAATCCTACTTAATCCTCATAACCACCCTATGAGTTAGGTGGTATTTTAGAGGACATGGAGACTTGAAAAGGCAAGAACTTCTTCCACGTTGTGCAGTTAATAGCAAAGCTGGGATTTGGTACTGGATTTGACTCTATATCTCATGAATTCATAAAACCAGTACTTGTTTTTATAAAAAAAATATTTATTTTTTAGTTGTAGTTGGACACAATACCTTTATTTTATTTATTTATTTTTTATGTGGTGCTAAGGATCAAACCCAGATCCTGGCACGTGCTAGGTGAGCACTCTACCGCTAAGCCATAATCCCAGCCCCAAACTAGTACTTCTAAATGAACTTTTAAAATACATTTATTCAACCTAAATGTTTTTCAAAATTAAAACAGGATAAGTTCCAGAAGAATGCGTTTATGAATTACATTTTCTATAAAGTTTCATGGCTTATCCCTATCTCTGCTAACATTTATTATTGGCTGTTTACCATGACATTCAACACGCTCATTTATTCCTCACAACAACCCCATGAGGTAAATAATAGTATAATTTACATTTTATAGATGAAGGAATGAAAACTTAAAGAACAAAAGTGCTCTGCTAACTTCACACAACAAGGATTCAAACTCAAATCTTCTGATTCCAAAATTTTAAGCAAAAATGTTATGTGCCTCTACTTAAAGCAAAAAAAAAAAAAGTTAAATTTTGTTTTTAAGTGATAATTACTGAATTCCTTACTGAGTAAGTTTCTAAGTAAGTTAGACAACTTCTGAGAAATAGCTGGTATTTGATACATAATAGGAAGAGTAATACTTTCTCATTCATTCTACAAATATTTACTCAACACCTACTAGGTGATCCAGGTACTGTTCTAGGTCAGTGGCTTCTGAAGCAAAGTTCTTGCTTTATGAGTCTATATTTGTTTCCTGAAAGTTTATAGGTCATAAACGTGCCAAGGATAGGCAAATCTGACATTTAGACAACACTATCTCCACTAGACATTATTAGATAATATTATCCTCCACTGTATTTTAGACAGTTCATTGATATGCATGCCTTTGGTCCCAAGAGGGACTGAAGGAATGAATCCATTCAAGTCATTCTCCAGGACTGAGAACCACCATAAACTATTCAACTTCCATGGCGCACTTAGGAGCTGCACATTAACTGTAAAACATGAAGAATAAGGGGAAAAATTTAAGTGTAGTCCTAAAGAAAGGTCACTGATGCAAAAAGAACTGAAAATGATTCCTGTTAATTAGTTTGCTATTACATCCCTTGTAAGCTAACATTGAACTTCTCAGGTATAATTAGAGGATCCTTACTCTATGCGCATCCATGGCACTTTGTAGTAGCAAATAATCTGATTATCAACATGCCTGTGTCCATCTTTAGGGAAGTACTAAGTACTCAAAAAAGCTGAATGAATGGGCTTTCTTGCTGTAAAATAAGACTCTAGCTCTAGACATTTTAAAATAAGCTCTCTAGCTCTTTAGTTTTCATGCTATGAAGAAATCTGTAAAGTACAAAATAAATTAAAGGAAAAGGCCAGAAAAATTAAACATGCTTCTTACCTTTAAAGACAGAGATCTAGCTAGAAGAAAGTGGTCCACATCAATAACAGAGGCTAAAAATCCAGCCAAAATGATTTCTCCAAAGTCAGTCTTCTTCTTGATTCCAATGACTATTGCCCATGACCACATGCCAATCACACAATGTACTGCATTATCTGAGAGGGCACGAAGCCAGTCATTTTGTTGGATTATGGAAAATTGAAGAAGTTTGTCAGCTACTAAGCAAAATATCCCCAGACCAAGGCTAGAAATAAGAGACTCAGTGCTACAAGACTGCAATAAAGCATGAGTCTTCTCAGTCTCAGATGCCATCATAAACAATATGTTAATATATACTAAAAGCCATTAGGAACAAACAGTATATTCTTGTTTTCATTTCTAGTACCCTAAAATAAAAAGCAGAGACAAATATTAATGAAGACTACAGACTGTCATATAATATTTAAACAGAATATCAGCATAACTTCACAAATGTAAAAACCAAGTTGTAAAAACTAGCATTTCTTACATGTTGTATACAACATGTCATGTGGCCCAAGTATAATAGATTAGTTTCACAGGAACAACAGTTTATTTTTTATTTATTTTAAAATATTTTGTTTAGTTGTAAATGGACACAATATCTTTATTCTGTTTATTTATTTTTATGTGGTACTGAGGATTGAACCCAGGGCCTCACACATGCTAGGTGACTGCTCTACCACTGAGCCCCAGCCCCAGCCCCAGCCCTGGGAACAATAGTTTAAATGGTAGTATATAACAAGGAGAATTTCACAAAGCCCACTGACTGTAATCTATTACCTTGGAGTCATCAAATAGTTCTGTTTCTGAGAATGTTATGACATCTTGGACATGCACTGTGTCTGAGTACCTAATAACTACTTCCCATACTTCTTTTGACAACAGAGTCCCCTCCCTTTGGGAAAACTGTGTATCATTACACCTAAATTCCAGAGTTTATCAATTGAGTTCCTTATCTCCTTTAAAAGAGTGACAATGTAAAGATGAGGGTTACCCAAGCTGGGCCTATCAGACTTCACTTCAGAATTTTCCTAAGTAAAGCTGGTGGGGAAAATTCCTCTTCTTGGAGGCCACAGACTCCAATACATGAAACAGCACAGGAAAATAAAATCCAGAAGAAACAAAAAGACAAAAAGCTAAGGGAATTATGAGAACATCAAGTCCTTAGGTCCAATTGCAGGTTTCTCAGAACTTCCCTAGTTCTTGCAGCTTACCATTCTATTAATAATAATAATAATAATAATAATAGTCATTGTTGTTATTACTATTTGGAGGTACTAGGGATTGAATCCAGGGACATTCTGCTACTGGACTATATCCCCAGCCCTTTTTATTTTTTGAGACAGGATCTCACCAAGTTGCCCAGACTGGTCTCTAACTTGTGATCATCCTGCCTTAGCCTCTGAGTAGCTAGTATTACAGGTATAAATCACCCAGAACTCTCAAACACTGATAGTGGGGGAAAAAAATGGTACCATGACCTTGAAAAATTTTTTCCAAACTCTCAAAAAATGACACATTTCTACCATATGGCCCAGTCGTTCCACATCTAGGCATTCTCTCAAGGGAAATGAAAGACTTATAAATGAATGTTCATAACAATCTTATCTGCATTAGTTCCAAACTAGAAACAACACAAATGTTCATCAACAAGTAAACAACTTAATGAAATATGGAATAAAAAGAAATGTGATATACATAAAACAGAATTGAATCTCAAAATAATTATAGTAAGTGAAAGAAGCCAAAACAAAATTATGTAGTTAAACCCCACAAAACGATATAACCTAAAGGATGAACCCTAAAGAAAATTAAGGACTTTAGTCAGTAATAATGTACCAATGTTGGTCCTTTAGTTATAACAAATGTACCAAAATGTGTACAGTAGAAAAGGGAGTATATTGGAACTTTCTGCAATGTCTGCTTAATTTTTTCTGTCAATTAAAAGCTGCTATTTAGGTTTATAAAGTCCTAGTAATTTAAAAATAAGTCATTAATTTTAAAATATATTAATTTATGAATTTTAAAATCTATTAATTTAAAAAAATTAATGAAGCAAACATTATAATTGTTAAATCTAGGGAATGGGTGTAGTGTAGTTCATTATTCTGCTACTGTTCTCTACTTTTCTGTATGTTTAAAATTTTCATTTAGAAATATGTTTTTAAAAGAGCACATAGTATGATTCCATTTACATAAAATTCTATAAAATGTGAGCTGATTCATAGTGACAAATGCAGGTTAGTTGTTTCCTGGGGACATGAATACAAGGATTAAAAAGAAGCAAAAGGAAACTTTGGGAGAGACGTGTACACTCATCTTGATTGGGGTGAAGTTTCTGGGCTCATATTTTAATGCATATGTCAAAATGTTTCAAATTGTATATTTTAAATATATAGAATTAGGCTGGGGATGTGGCTCAGTGGTAAAGCGCTTTGCCTAGCATGTGTGAGGCATTGGGTTTGATTCTCAACACCACATATAAATTAAATAAACAAATAAAGAGAGAGAGAGAGAGAGAGAGATTAAATGTCCATAGTATACCATTTTAAACACATAAATAAATAGTTAATTGCATGTCAGCTAGCTATATGCCAACAAAATATATTGATAATGAAAAACTGCAGGTTTTCATGAAAAAGGAACAATCTGAAAATAAAAAATTATGAAAAATGAAAAACCTGACCAATTAAAAAGTCAACAGGAGCAATGAATAGGAGAACGAATGTTTAAAAAAAAAACAAAACAACCAGAACAAGTTAATAAGAACACATTCAAATAATTTTTCCAAAGTATAGGGAGAAAATAAAAAGACAAAGATTTGAGTAATGAAAGAAAAAAAAAACCCTCAGAAATTCTGTCAAAACAAAAAAGCCACCTGCAAAACAAACAAACAAACAGAATGTGATCATTATCATCCCTAAGTGCCAGTATATTATGGAGAAACATTTATAGAGCTCTGAGAGAAAAGGATCATGACTGTAGGACTGTTACTTTTGTGACAATCATGAATTTTAAGAATTTTACCTTAGAATTTATAACACCTGTGTATGATTTTAGGGGACGACGGGGTTGAAGAATAGATGTTCTGAATCTCTGTGCAAGAGAAATAAAGAAAACTTGATCAATACAAAATGAAAAGAAAAAAAAAGAAAAGAAAACTTTACTCCTTTTCCAGCTCCCTCCAAAAGCAATAGGAACCAAAGATATCAACTATAAATACTTGGACAAATGTTAATTTGTTAAATTTCTCTATAAAGAGGCAAACATAATTAGACTAGAACAAAAGGAAACAGCCACTGTTACTAGTCATAAGAGAAAACCTCAAATGAAAAATCTTAATAATATTTACATATAGAAATGAGAAAAAACATGTCTGAAAAAACAAAACAAAATAAAGCAACAGTGGTAATATTAATATCAAACATAATTCAAGGCAAAAATGATTAAGTAGAACTAAAAAGGATAAAAAATTCACATCATAGTAACATACAAAATTACATAAGTTATATATAAGGTCAGAGGATGTTTACCTATCAATAAAGCAGTAAAACATAAATTTAATCAAGCAGTCAAAAAAAAAGGTACAACTGTGGGGCATGATAGAGCATACCTATAATCCCAGAGGCCCAGTAGACTAAGGTAGGAGGATCCCAAGTTCAAAGTCAGCCTCAGCAACTTGGTGAGATCCTGTCTCAATACCAAAAATAATAAGAGCTGGGGATTTAGCTCAGTGATTAAGCACCCCTGGGTTTAATCCTTAGAGAGAGAGAGAGAGAGAGAGAGAGAGAGAGAGAGGGAGGGAGGGAGGGAGGGAGAGAGAGAGAGAGAGAGAATGCAGTAGCCTAATTAGCTCAAAAAATGTAAATATAAACAGTGTACAAGTAATACCTTTGGACTCAAAAGACTTGTCTTTCAAGTGTTTATGCTATAAAATTATTTCCGAAAAGAAAAGAGAGAATAAGGACTCTGTCTACTTTGTTTACCTCCATATCCTCAGCCTATACTAGGTGCTAAATATTTGTTGAATCAACAAAAGAAAAATCATCATATACTGTACCTGTAATGTACAAGGTATTATATATGGTTACTTGAAAGGCATTCAGTAAAATTTAACATCCATTCCTGGGAATTTGCATTTTAAGCAAGTATGTATTCTAGATAATTTCTATGTTCACTAAACATTGAGAACTGCTGGTTTACCAAAAATGTTAAGACCACTTAGTTTAGAAACCAAAATGATGAAAAACTAGAAATATTACCTTAAAAGTTAAAAACAGCATAGCTGTTATAACACTGTTCTGGCAACTTTAATCAAGGCAATGGGGGTATAAGAAAAAAAAAACATTATTACATTATCAGAAAAAAAGATAACTACATTAGTTTGCAGGTGAAATGACTGCCTTCCAGGAGGACCAATTGAAAACTGTTGGAATATAAGTTGAAAAAACATGGAAAATTCAAGATAAATACTAAAATGATTTTCAATAGGCCAGAAATAATCATAAGAAAAAATGGGAACATAAATATTTACAATAAAAACAAGTCCAAACATCAAGGAATAAACTAAACAGGAAATGTATATGAAGAAAACTACCCAACTTTACTAAAGGATGAAAAATAGCAATTTTCTTGCAGAGGCAGCTGGCAGCACAAGTCTTCCCAAAAGGAAGAAATCTTCGTCCAAGGAGGAAACAGGTAGTGATCCAAAAGAGGCAGGCAGCAGGAGTATCTCCAAGAAAAGGCGGAAATTCTCTTCTTAGGAGGAGTGGGTCAGCAGTGGGCCTGAAGAGGCTGCTGGTGGCAAGAGCAGTGCCAATAAAAAGAAAAAAAGTTCCAAAAACCGTCTCAGGATGATTAGAATGAGCATTCCTGGTACAGAAAGGTCAAACCCCATAGTGACATTTCCCAAACCAATAAAAACCAATTCACACATAAATACAAAAATCAATTGACTAGAGTTCTGGTGGCTTTGTATTATGTCAATTCAGATGAACTGGACTTATATTTCCCTTCCTTGTATAGTTCTGGGTAGTAAGGGCCACAGGAGACACTATGCCTGACACCTGAAAGGAGTAGTCATATTTTTTAGTTTGAAGGTTGGTGCAGGTCGCACTGTGGAATATGAACATCTTGTTGCTGATCTGAGCTCACTTGTTGGCGTGGGGAAGCAGCTGGAACTGCAGTTCCTTCAGCTCCCATCCGATCTTCTTTTTTAGGGTCTCCAAAACCTGGGCCTACACAGCTCCAAGGTCAAAGTGTCAGCCTTTCCTGCAGATCCCCCACAGCATTAAAACTGGAGTTGGTGCATGTGGCAAAAATTTGCTCCCAAAACATAGGCTCTCTCTTCACCTCCTTGTTTCTTTTGCTGAGAAGCAGCTTTTTAGTAAATCCATCCCATTTATTAGTTCTTGATTTTATTTCTTGCACTTTAGGAGTCTTGTTAAGAAAGTTGGGGCCTAATCCGATGTGATGAAGATTTGGGCCTACTCTTTCCTCTTTTAGGCACAGGGTCTCTGGTGTAATTCCTAGGTCCTTGATCCACTTTGAGTTTATTTTGTGTATGGTCAGAGATAGGGGTTTAGTTTCATTTTGCTACATATGGATTTCCAGTTCTCCCAGCACCATTTGTTTAAGAGGCTATCTTTCTCCTATGTATGTTTTTAGCACCTTTGTCTAGTATGAGATAACTGTATTTATGTGGGTTTGTCTCTGTGTCTTATATTCTGTACGATTGGTTTACATGTCTATTTTGGTGCCAATACCATGCCGTTTTTGTTACTATAGCTTTGTAGTTAGAGCACTAATCTCCAGGATATATAAAGAACTCAAAAACCTAAACACCAAAAAACAAACAATCCAATCAATAAATGGGCTAAGGAGCTGAACAGACACTTCTCAGAAGAAGATATATAATCAATCAACAAACGTATGAAAAATTTTCAAAATCTCTAGTAATTAGAGAAATGCAAATTAAAACTACTCTAAGATTTCATCTCACGCCAGTCAGAATGGCAGCTATTATGAATACAAACAACAATAAGTGTTGGTGAGGATGTGGGGAAAAAGGTACACTCATACATTGCTGGTGGGACTGCAAATTGGTGCAACCAATCTGGAAAGCACTATGGAGATTCTTTATAAACTTGCAATAGAACCACATTTGACCCAGCTATCCCACTCCTGGATCTATACCCAAAGGACTTAAAATCAGCATACTATAGTGATGCAGTCACATCAATGTTTATAGCAGCTCAATTCATAATAGCAAAACTGTGGAACCAACCTAGATGCCCTTCAACAGACGAATGGGTAAAGAAACTGTGGCATATAAACACAATGGAATATTACTCAGCATTAAAGGAGAATAAAATTATGACATCTGCAGGTAAATGGATGGAGTTGGAGAATATCATGCTAAGCGAAGTAAGCCAATTCCAAAAAACCAAAGGCTGAATGTTCTCTCTGATAAATGGATGCTGATCCATAATGTGGGGGGGATTGGGGAAAATGGAGGAACTTTGATTGAGCAAAGGGGAGGGATTGGGACATGGGGGCAGGAAAGATGGTGGAATGAGATGGACATCATTACCCTAGGTACATGTAGGACTGCAAATTATGGTGCAACGCTATACTGCATACAACCAAAGAAATGAAAGTTGTGCTGCAATTGTATACAATGAATCAAAATGTATTCTGCTGTCATATATACCTAATTAAAATTAATTAATTAATTTTTAAAAATAAAATAAATGACTCTTAAAAAAAAAACCCTGAAGTTGGTGAGAGGCTGATGCAGGCTACATTTTGTCCCATGGATTTCATGTAAGAAAAATAAGTATCTAAATAATACCATGGGCTATGTATATAAACAGGCAATTTAGAAAAATAAGAAATACAAAAAGTAAAAAAAAAATCAAAATATTTCACCTTCATCTTAATGTGATTCAACATAAAATCTGTCAACATAAAATTGACAAAAGATTACTAATACTCTTGTTTTGGTAGTAGTGGAGGAAATGATCACTCTCACAGATTACTAGCAAGAATATATATTCGGGGTTGTGGCTCAGTGGTGAAGCACTTGCCTCACACGTGTGAGGCCCTGGGTTCGATCCTCAGCACCACATATAGATAAACGAATAAAATAAAGGTATTGTGTCCATCTACAACTAAAAAATTATTTAAAAAAAATCCCTTCTAGTAGATGATTTGATTACATATCAAAAACCAATAAAAACGAGCAAACACTTTTGACTTAGCATTTCCAATTCTAGGTCTTTGTCATAAAAAAAATTAGATTAATGCAAAGAGCTATACAAAGAAGTTAAACATAGTATTGTTTGCAGGAAAAGTTAAAAACAATATACATTTCCAAAATACATAACTTCTGAATAAATTCCACATATTAAAGCTATTAAAAAAATACTTATTCCTTTGGTGCTGGGGTTATGACTCAGCAGTAGAGTGCTCGCCTTGCACATGAGAGGCCCTGGGTTTAATCCTCAGCACCACATAAAAATAAATAAATTAAATAAAGGTATAAAAATTTTTAAAAATAATACTTATTCCCACCAGGCACAGTAGTGCACACTGGTAATCCCAGCAACTCAAAGACTAAGGCAAAAGGATGGCAAGTTTGAGGAAAGCCTCAGCAACTTAGCAAAACCCTGTCTCAAAATAAATAAAATAAAATGGGCTGGGGGTGTTGCTCGGTGGTAAAACATCCCTGAGTTCAATTCCCAGTGCAAAGAAAGAAAAAGATAAAAAGAAAGAACAAACCAACAACATCAAAAAAAACCCTTATGCCCATATTTGTGTACATAGAAAAATGGGTAATAGATATTACATTTTAAAAGACAGCCTATAAAATAGTAGATAAAATATTAGTTTTATTTTTAAATACATACATATTATATTAGCTTTTCAACATTACAACAAACTACCTGAGAAAATCAACTTAATAAAAAGAAAGTTTATTTTGGCTCATGGTTTCAGTCCACAGTCATTTGGCCCTGTTGCTTTTGGCCTGTGGCAGCAAAGGACACTGTGGTGGTAGTACACAGTGGAGGAGGCTTATTTACCTCCTGGTAGTCAGTAAGCAAAAAAAAAGAGGAGGAAGGGGCCAGGGTCCCAGTATCACCTTCAAACAAACTCCTCCCAATGACCTAACTTCCCTCTAATAGGTCCCATTTCCTAAAGGTTCTCACCATCTCTCAAAAGGCTCACAGGCTGGCAACCAAGCCTTTAATAGATGGTTTTTGGGAACACTCCTGATCCAAACTATAGCACTTAGATGTACTAAAATCAGGATGTTGTTCATTTGGTTTGTTTCTCAGTGATGGGATCACAAATATGATAATTTTTTCCTTTTTTTATTTTCTAAAAATTTTCAATGTCTTACTATTATAGCCATAAAACTAGTAAAGCTATTTTAAAAACTTAAAGCCAGAAAGTCAGCCTCTTAAAAGTATAATAAAAAATTGAAATATATTTATGACATTGTAAATATGTACTAATAAAAAGAGTAAAATATATAATATTAGTCATAATAATAAAACTATGTACAGAGCTGGAGTTGTAGCTCAGTGGTAGAGCACCTGCCTAGCATGTGTGAAGCACTGGTTCGATATAAATAAATGAAATAAAGTTCCATCATAAAGTAAAAAAAAAAAAAAAAACAAAAAACTATGTACAATCTCATAAGTTAAAAATTTGGTGGAGGTGGGGACTGGGAATTGAACTTAGGGGGCACTCGACTACTGACCCATATCTTTAGGCCTATTTTGTATTTGACTTAAAGACAGGGTCTCACTGAGTTGTTCAGTGCCTCATTGTTGCTGAGGCTGGCTTTGAACCCACAATCCTCCTGCCTCAGCCTCTCGAACTGCTGGGATTATAGGCATGTACCACTGAACCCGGCTTCGTACAATATAAAAAACTTGTTCATTGTTGAATATTAGTTGATACATAAAAAATCTGCACTGCAGGGAGCAGTGGCCCATACCTGCAATCCAGTGGCTCACGAGGCTGAGGCAGGAAGATTACAAGTTCAAAGTCAGCCTCAGCAACTTAAGAAGGCCCTAAGCAACTCAGCAAGACCCTATCCTTAAATCAAATACAAAAAAGAACTAGGGATGTGGTTCAGTGGTTAAGCATCCCTGGGTTCAATACCCAGTACCCCCCACCAAAAAAAAAAAAAAAAAGTCTGTACTAAGACTTCTATATCTTTGCATGAAATAAACTTAGGTTCCTTATGCAGAGAAAAACTATTTTATTAATGATAATGGAGCCTACAACAATCCTTAAATTCTTAGTTATTTACAACAATAAAAAAATATTTTCTAAAGCACTAAAATTGGGTTATATTTTATAGATTCTTCTGGTACTTTCAACTAAAACATATGAACAAAATGTAAAAGGTACTTCCATTAAAAGATTGCGAATCCCTTCTATAAACCTCAGGATGTATAATGCCCAAAATTATGATTGTTAATCATTGTATCTACTTTAGAAAATAAAGAAACATTTGCACAACAGACACTAGTATGGCAATATGTAAATCAATGGATGTGTAACTGATGTGATTCTGCAATCTGTGTATGGGGTGAAGGTGGGAGTTCATAACCCACTTGAATCAAAGTGTGGAATATGATATGTCAAGAAATTTATAATGTTTTGAACAACCAACAATAAAAAATTAAAAAAAAAGAAACATTTGACCCTTCAATGGATAAAGAAGTTAATGTGTTTAAAGATTTAAAGCATATAAAATTTATAAAAATATCCCCTTGAACCAAAGATAAATGCTATTGTTCACTTAGATGGATGGGAACTGAGACACAGAAAGTTTGAATTAATGGCCAAGCCACAGAGTCACAGCAGCTGCAGGAATAATACCTCTTTCAAGAACCTGTAGTCTCACCCCAGAAGGCAGACAAAAATAAAAGGTTAATATCTACTTAACTGAAAATTCATTATGTCTCTATAATCCACTGTATTGCATCTTCTTTCACTCATGAAACTATTTTTTACGAGCACAATATTTAACTATTACCCTGGATTTTTCATTAGTTCAGATTTTAAAAGGAATGGACAGCTAACAATAGTCACAAGTAAAAATCAATTACTTCATATATTTAAAAGATGCAAATTTAAAGTGATGGTAAATAGGAAAACTTACTGATTACAAATAACCGTGTCAAAATTTATGACTAGGACTATATACACAAATAGGGCAGTAAAAATGTGTTTTATAACTGGAAAGTATAAAATAGATTGCTTGATGATAGGGGGATAAGAAGCTCCTGAGTGACCTTGGAAGCAGATCCCTCAGCCTGTCAAGCCCTCAGAGGCTTACAGTCCCCACCACCAATAAGAGGACAACTTCAGGAGACCCAACAGTCTTTCTAAGTCCTGATTCATAGAAAGAATGAGATGAAATACAGGTCCCCAGAACAGTCTGTTTTTAAGATAGACCTGTTCCAGGAACACACATTTCTGGCAACTATTCCACTCCACTATTGGTGCATATATTTAACATCTTTGGCTTAGATTCTAAATATGAGAAAGCTGAATGTAATTATTATAATTCCTCTATTTATTGTTTCTGGTTAGAACATTGCTACAGTCTATAAAGGGTTGAACGTTCCCCAAAGGCTGATGTATTGGGAGGTGATTCCCAAGGTGAGGATATTAGGAGGTGGTTGGATCTTTAAGAGATGGGAACCTCATGGGGATCCTTAGGTGTCTGCAGGCCCAGCTCTTGAAAGGGATTAAAGTAGTTCTTATAGAATCTTTGGTAGTTTCCCTGAAAGGGTTGTTAAAAAAAACCTCAGCTGGCCCTACCCCAGCTCTCTGGCTTCCTATATCCTGATTGCTAGCTCCTGCTCGGTGCTGCATCTGCCAGGAATGGATGCAGCCAAGAGGCCTCTCACCAGAACTGAGTAGTTAACAGACACCAAATTCTTGAACCTCTGAAACTGTAAGTAAAATAAATCTCTTTTCTTCCTAAAGTTAGCTACCTGAAGGATTTTGTTACAGCAAAGAAAAATAAACTAATATAGAACCTAAGTGTGCTCATTTTTCTTAATCCCTTTTCTTTCATTTCCACTTCCTATTCATCCCACTACAAATAAAATGAACCCCTGAACTTCCTAAACTTCGAAGCTTTATGTTTATTTTACTCCTTCACTTTTTCTGGGAATGTTCCTGAAGAGCAACAATTATAATTTTCTTTTAAACTTGTCATGCATAAAATCTGATGTGCTTAAGTTGTTGAACAAATGTTTCATTATGATAATACAAGAGGTGAACACATAAGCAATCTTTAGGTTGTGAGTATTCCTTCCAGATTTCTGCAACAGGGTGTGAATGTGGTGCTGGGGAATTGAACCCAGGGGCTGATGCCTACCAGGTAAGCGCTCTACCATTGAGCTACATCCCCAATTAATCCTCTGCCTACAAAGATATTTAGATTGACCTCTTTACCACAATAGCCAGACACCCATACCATAAATTCTTCTCTGTAACTTGCAGAAGACACTTTCTCCAGTGGCCCAACAACAGTCCCATTACAGCAAATGCCATTAACTACTGGGCATTCAAAGGACAGAATAGTAACCCCCCCTCCCCCACTTAACTCTACAAACACATAATTAGTTGGTCTCTTGAAGTATATGCTATCGTGTTTTGTTTGCTACTCATCTCCTAAACATTATTTCTGCCCAAAAAAATAAGAAAAAATTTCAAAGTAAATCTCATCTTCTGATTCAATCTTCCTGAGTCCCACCAATATCATAAATTTACAAAAGGTAAAAGTAGTCAAATATCCAAAAAACTTCCTTTATCACGCTTTACAAATAAGTCCTCTTCACTAACCTGCAGTTGCTGTGAAACTTCATTTCTTTAATGCTAAAACACCAAAAGCAGGTGCCAAATCTAATGCACATAAAGGGAGAAAGCAGAAATCTTGCTCACATTTACTGAAACTTTATAGCCATGAGATCTCGGCACATAAAATTTTTAGTTTCTATGATAGCTACAAATAAAACTTACAGTTCTTAATTTCAACATGTTCAGCAAATTCCCAGTCATGTTTTTCTGAGGTTGGTGTGATGCAATGATTTTTAGAATGTCAATTTAAAAAATGGGATAGGAAGTCCTGGGGTCTCTTGGAAGGAACCATATCAAACATCACTGAACCCAGGGCTCGAAGGTCTCTTCTACCTGTTAAGGAAGGTGGTGGGCTCCTTCTGCAAGACTCCCGCACCCTGCCCAGGGCCAGGCCAACGCCAAGGGCGCAGAGTCCTGGAAAGGTTGGGTGTCTACGGGATCCAGAAGGTGCCGAAGCGCAGACCACTGGGCCACCAGACAGCGCCGGCCCGTGGTCAGGCAAACCCGGAGTGCCTGCCCTCCCCGCTCCTTCAACCAGGACCTGCCAGGTTTCAGCGTCGGACGGGCCCAGCCTCTGGCTTCCCTCACTGCGCAGTTTCGCGTCCATTCCGACCCCTCCCGTCCGACCAGTAGCAGCAGCTATACCCACCCTCAGTTCTCGCAGCTGCAGCGCGCAGCGGCCCCACCCCTGGGTCGGCACCATTGAGACGCCGGTGGCCGGCCAGAGCAGCCCTAGCTTCAACGTCCGCCCAGAGGACGCCGGGAAACCGGCCCTTTTCGGAGCGGTGAGGAAGCGATACTACGGTGCACGATGGTTGAGCCTGTGGGTGCCTTGAATAAACCACCAACCTCCCTAAAAGACACCTTTGGACGACAGGGTAGGAGGTGGAAAGTGCGTTCTTGGTTTCCTTCTGTCAAACCTCAGGATTCGTTTCTCCGCTTAAGTGGTCTTAACCGCTAACCTCCCCACGACGCACCCAAATGGAGGCTGGGAAGATGGGGACCGAGAAGTGGCTTCACCTAATGTGGGACGCGCAGTCGGTTGTGGGTCTCGAAGGTGTGGAGATACTTCCAGTTTCTTTCATTGGTCCTTCTGGGTTGTGGAGTTTTTCAAGAGGCGGAGGGATCCCAAGGCTGCTCAGACCTGACGTCCCTCAGTAGCGCTTTACCGCCACCTTGGGGTTTTGTCGATAAATCTTTGCTACTATGCTCGTGGATGTTGGAAGCTAGACTTTTGGACAGTGACGTAGCTAGAACACTTAAGCATGACTACTAAAATGTTTAGGAAAAAAAAAAAAAAACTGCAAACAGGGCTGCTTGAAACTAACTGGATTCACCAGTTTGTTTGCAGGGACTGCGACCAGATGCTTCCCATCTCCCTGCTTCTCAGTTTTGGGTACTGCCTTCATCACGGAAATATCTACCTTAGAAAAAGGACCAGCCCCAAAGAAAACGCCTCTTACAGAGGGATATTTTTTCAACTTTCTTATCGTTTCTCAAAACAAATGGAAAGGAAGGGCAGCAGTGGAATAAATAACATAGATGAAGGAATGTTTAATCTCAAGCAAATTCCTAGGGTGTCCACAGAATCTCAGTTTCTCAACCACAGAACTTTTCATTGTTTGTCAGTGTCTACAATTTGAGTGCTTTTAGCCATGTTAAGGGCACACTTTCTGTCTGAATACAGTTGTTTCATAATAGTCTTGGGTTTCTGGAGCTGAGGGACAACATAGATGACCTCCTGTGAACCAAAGCAGAACAAATTGTTGGTTTTCTGTCTCTCTCTAGTCAATTTACTACCTAAAGACACTGATCCATTTACACAACATATACTGAGTGCTGTGTGTGCCAGGCCCTATGGTAACAAGGCTACAAAATTACTTTATGGAGGATATTCTAGTAGTGGATATTGGCCATAATGAAGCAAACAAGCTGGGCAGATTGTGGTAGGCACTTACAGGAAGTAAACAGGGTGGATATTAGAGTTGAGAGAAGATAACCTGTCAAGTAGTTAGGGAGGCTTCTTAGAAGAAATATTTTTGCTAATACCTAAAATGTGAAGAAGCCCAGAGTGAGGAGCTAAAAAGAGAACCTGTGCCCCTTCAACTCATTGACATGATCACTACAAATCTAGTAATACTTTTTTCTTCATTGTTTTCCTTTATCTTAACTTTAGATGTGAGGAATCTGATTATTTATTTTTGTGGTGCTATTATTTTATTTTTGAATTGAACTCAGGGCCTTGTGCATTCGATGCAAGCATTTTACCAACTGAGCTATATTCCCAGCCCCAGCCTGATCTTTTTAAATAGAAAATTAGAACATTTCTGGTTGTCTGGTAGTATAATCTTACATTCTTTTTAGATGTTTGAGTTTTTGTTCTTTCCATAGGCAAGGCTACAATAAGCACTTTTGGTGAGGACATTTCTGTTAATTCCACACATTTTGCAGCATAAATCTTTCTGTATGTTCAAAAGAAATGAAATCCAATTCATGAGACAGTTTAAATAAAACAGTCTTGGCTGAAGTACTTGATCCTTAGCTTGCAATATTGCCTAGGCTTACTTGTTTGTTGTTTTGTTTTGTTTAGATTTAGTTATCTTTTAATAGTTCTTTTGGAGTAGAAACTAAATAGCAGTTACTGGATACAAAAAATAGTGAATATGACACAAGATTAAAAACAGCAAAAAATTCACAATTTTACAAAAGTTTCATAAATCTGACATTAAATGAAAGTTCAAAATAGTTCTTTATTAATAAAATTTATTGTATATTTAAAAATTTTGCAAGTTAGGTAAAATACAACCAAAGTTAATTGTCAATTCTCATAGTCATGTAGAAGTAATACATGCAATTTCTTGGCTTACTAATAATTTTGTACCAGTCATTTGAAACAACATCCTCAAGATTTAATAATAATTCCATTTTTCACTTTTTAGAGTTTGATAAAAGACAATCAATATCCTGAAGAATTTTGGAAGTTTTTTCCAATGCTACTGATACTTTCTTTTCGTTAAATTCTTCTAGCAAGGTTTCTGAAGATCTTGGTTTATAATAATCAGAAGACTGTTCATTTTTCTTGTTAGAAATCTGGTTTAGGATACCACTATTCTCCAGTAGCACTGTTACTTAATTAAGGAGCTTTTTCCCACATTTTAAAAATTACATAAATATTTTTATTTTTAGAAAGCCTGGCTTTCATATCAAAATATTATTTCTCAATAAGATTACTTGGATTCATAATAAAGTAGGGACTTCAGAAATTAGAACTACCCCTTATAAATGATGAAACACATTATAAAGGAGGGGGAATATTTACATGTTGTGTTTGTATTGAGGCTTGGTGATAAGGAGGAAATGAATGAAAATCTCAGTAACATTTCATGTTCTTAAGTGTTATAAAAATGGAACAAGAATAGCAATGACAGGATTATAAGCAATCTGTGTAGTGTCTTTTATTTTCTAAGTAAAAGAAATCTAAAGTAAAAAAAAGCCTTTCCTCTGTTCCAGAACTACTTTATTATTTCAGTAACATTCAAAAACCACGAGAGAAAACAAGTTTAAATAAGTGGGGTGAGAATGTACAGAATGAAAGGTTTCATAAAAGAAGTCAGAAGTAGGTACTTAATAATTTTAGTAATTTAGAATAATATAAGTGATAAAGTCCCCAAAGAACACCTTTACCCTAGTTCACTGTTCCTTGTTCAATTTAAATCCAAAGAAAAGTGTTAACATGATGTACCTTCCATAAATAAAAAAACATCTTAAATATTTGCTGACTCAATAAAGCTCTACAATATATAAAGTATGGATTAATATTTCACAAATTATATCCATGAATTAAGCCTAGAATTGAAGGGGATTAATTCTGCAGTACAGTACATTCTTTTTTGGGGGTGGGGGTGGATATCGGGGATTAACTCGGGGGCACTTGGCCACTGAGCCATATCCCGGCCCTATTTTGTATTTTATTTAGAGACAGGGTCTCACTGAGTTGCTTAGCACCTGGCTTTTGCTGGGGCTGGCTTTGAACTCAAGATCCTCTTGCCTCAGCCTCCCAAACAGCTGGGATTACAGGCATGCACCACCATGCCCAGCAGGACAGTACATTCTTTTTAAAGGATACAGTTAAACTTCTGTATCTTTTCAAGTTCAGAAGCAACAGACCTGTGCAAAAAAACAGAAAAAAAGTAAGTTCATGCTGATTTTTTTTTTTTTTTTTTTTTGGTACCAGGTGTTGAACCCAGGAGCACTTAACCGCTGAGTCACATCCTAAGCCCTTCTTTTTGTTTTGAGACGGTCTAAGTTGCTTAGGGCCTTGCTAAATCACTGAGGCTAGCTTTGACCTTGCAATCCTCCTGTCTCAGTCTCCAGAGTCACTGGAATTATGCATGTACACCACCATACCTGGCATGCTGATTCTTTTTTATTTATGAAATTTCAATAAGCATACTTGACTTTTTTTCCCAAAAAAGTTAAGAATTCTCTTTATATTAGCTTTACTTAGCAGCAAGTTGACTTAGCTAATATTTACTGAATGCTTTTAAAGGACAATGAATAAGTCTCCAAAGATTTTGTAATCAAGTATAGATATTTTAAGGTTACAGGTTTTCCTACTAATTCTTCGTACTAACCCGGAATACCTTCTACTCTTTCTCTCTAAAGTATACCTGAACTTTAATAACTTATTAAATCCCATCCCTTCTAGGAAAGATGTGACCTCTCACTGAATTTTTACAGCATTTATGTTAATCATATACTTAATTGTAATGTCTTCTCTTGAATATTTAACTTTTTGATCTTCCTACCTAGATTGTCTCTCAGAAAAAAAAGATCTTTTAAAATTTTTCTGTACTTTTCATTGGTTTAATGATTAATTTTAGAAAGGCCTCATTTATAGAGAACTCTTAATTAAAATTAGATGGTTTGGGAGGTCCCAAGTTTTTACACAGTTAAATTAGACATTAAAACATAACTCTTTAAATTAAATTTCTTCTGGAATAGACTATTAACTTATTTCATTTAGCTCTTACCATGTATGAAAAATAAGACAATGAGTATGAGGTATAGGTTTGAATGTATAAAACTAGCAGAACCCCATACATGTGTGTTCTTTTACCTTATGAAGCTAGAATGATATGTGAGCAGTAGCACATAATTACAAATGATGTAAACTTGACTTTCTATAAAAAATTAGTGAGGACATTAGTCTAAAAACATGTTTTTATTCAAGTTACTTGAAAAGGCTATTTTAGCTGGGTGCAGCGGCACACACCTATAATCCCAGTTTTTTAGTCAGCTTTTTCGCTGCTGTGACCAAAAGACCTGATAAAAACAATTAGAGGAGTACAGTTTATTTGGGGGCTCATGGTTTCAGAGGTTTCAGTCCACAGATAGCCAGCTCCATTCCTCAGGACTGAGGTGAAGAAAACATCATGGCAGAAGGATGTGGTAGAGGAAAACAAGTCAGGATATGGCCACCAATAAGCAGAGACAGAGACTAAGCTCAGCTCTCAAAATATATACCCCCAAAGGCACACTCCCAATGACCCACCTCCAGTCACACCCCACCTCCCTACAGTCACCACTCAATCCCTTGTCAGGGGATTAATGAATTGATTAGGTTAATATTCCCATAACCCAATCATTTTACCTCTAAACTTTCTTTCATTGATTCATACAGGAGCTTTTGCTGAACACCTAATTTAAACCATAACATCCAGCAACTTGGGAAGCTGCAGCAGAAGGATCACAAGTTTGAGGCCATCCTTAGCAACTTAGCAAGACCCTGTCTCAAAAAAAAAAAAAAAAAAAAAAAACAAGGGCTGGGGATGTGGCTCAGCAGTAAAGTATCTCTGGATTCCCAGTACTAAAAAAGGGAATGTGGCTTTATTGGCTTTACTACAATGGGTCATATGTACCTTCTTGCCAGCTTGCAATCTTTTCTTTTCCTTGTATACTAGTTTATGGATGTAAATGAGAGAGATCTTTGGTCATTTTAAGCATCTGTGGAAAAGAACTTGGATATAACTTACTCCAAAGCCTGCAGACTTATCATCATTGCAAATCACCTTTAGCATAATACAAAATTTTTTTCTGGCATAGGCAACCATAACAATCTTTAATTCTATTGCTCACATGATGAACTAACTTCTTATGAAATATATTCTGCACTCTTTTTTGACTAACATCCATATTAAAATGTCCAATTAATAAGCTAATAATGGTGAAGCAGAAAAAACTGAAATATGATTTAGGTAGCTGTTCATTATATAATCTCTTTTTCCTTCAGCCAACTCTGACAAGAAAACAAATCACAGTGGAAATGTCTTATCCTTTGCAAGGGGATAGAGCTACTCCTCAATTCCTTTATCTTATCTCTCTGCTGCTTCTTCCATCCTTCCACCCATAGCTTCCATAAACAATGTGCACTTTCACTTTATAGTATTTCTTTTTTTTTTTTTTTTTTAATATTTATTTATTTATTTAGTTTTCGGCAGACACAACATCTTTGCTTGTATGTGGTGCTGAGGATCGAACCCGGGCCGCACACATGCCAGGCGAGCGTGCTACCGCTTGAGCCACATCCCCAGCCCTATAGTATTTCTTGACAGCTATTCTTTTTCAGCTTTTATATAAGAAGTCTGCATTTTACAAATGCCAGCTATGGTGAAGTGATCACTTTTATAGCCATGGATAATTTCCCTTTCTTCTAAACTTTTTTAATATTTATTTTTTAGTTATAGTTGGACACAATACCTTTATTTTATTTATTTATTTTTATGTATTGCTGAGGATCAAACCCAGGACCTCACATGTGCTTGGCGAGCACTCTACCGCTGAGCCACAACCCCAGCCCCTAAACTGTTTTTTATTAATTACTCAAGCAACTTTTCAGCATTAGCTGAAGGATGCATCTGGAAAGGTAAATCCTTACATACCTGAGATTTTCAAATAATACCTACTGATTTGATTTGATTTGTTCCAAAAAGTAACTTAGGTTCCTAAATTGTTTCTGGTATCCTTTTCCAGTATATTCAGATTATACCCTCACTGATATGAATCTGCTGAATGACTTCTTCCTGTCATTTTCCAGTTTAGGAACTTGTATTTACTTCAAATTTGAACTCTATTTACAACAAGATCCATTGATCCATAAAAATCCATCCTATACCCTAGCAGAAAGCATCTGCTTCATAAAAACTATCTTCTCACTATCTCCATAGACCAAAAGATTCTTTTTGCCTCTGCCCTTGCTTGCTCCCTACAATATCTTATTTTTTCTAAATATTCCTTTACAGCCTGGTCCTAGTCCTCTGCAAACTGAAAGGCACATAGAAGGGACTGAAATACTTGATTTGTTATTTGCTAATTAATTTGGGGCAAGTAATTAATATGACAGAAATTATTTAAAAATCAACTTTTGCTGAAAGCTTGTTAGTCAACAATTTATTCCCATTAATACTAATCCCCTTTACATCTTCCATGAACTTTTGAAGTTATCACATGTAAAAGCCTTTCATTTTGAAATTTTCAATGCAAAGTTTTCTGTTCCTCAGATGAAATATGATGAAATATAATAAATTAAGATATCTGATTTGAAATAATTTTCAAGTTTAAAGTATCAAAAGCATTATAGGAGTTAAATATATTTAAAACTAATAAGTTTTCTTGAGAAAACAGTTTCAGGGGTTACTACTTGATACTTTAACTTCTATATATTAGTTGGCTCTTCTAGACAGATTAAAAGAAATATAAATACCAATTTTCTTCAGGAATAAAAGCTGAAGGATGTGTGAGCATCTCTCTTGGACTAATCTGGGTAAGTCTTCTGCACCATGATGCTACTGTTGTCACATATCTAGAAATGAACACATTAAAATAAATACTTGAAAATGAACTTTTATGTGTTCTACACAAGTATACAAAAAATGGAAAAATCATTAAAACAATTTGGAAAAAAGGACAAATAAAAAATTAATTTTCTAAATCTTCCTCATTAGACAAAAAAGGTAAGCCTTTTGTATTTTACATAAAAAAATTGATTTATTCACAGTCATAACAAAGATACATTTAAGTCAAAATGAAGGTAATATTTGAATTTCACTTAAAGCTCAAATTCAAGTATTCAAATTTTCCTTTTGGTTTTTCAAAGTAAATTGAGTTTCCTTAAATTTTATCATGAAAATATATCTACACATAAGACTATGTGAGCATTTGCTTACTAAATTTAAACCAGAAAACACCATTAATATGTACATATGTACATGAACACACACATAATTATAACTGAATATACAAAACAAATATTGAGTTTAATAAAGTCCAATAGAAAATGAATTCAAGAGGTAAAAAAGCAATTATTTTGTTAACATTGTCAAGTAAAATTGCTAAAATGTCAAGACTACCACAAGTAGAATTACCATAACTAATAACAAATCACAAAAACTCAAAAAGTATATTCATAAAAACTGATTTCAAGAATCTTCCCAATTTTAAGAATCATTATCAGCTAGTTTAAATTTTACTTTATAGAATATACATACTTTTTGTTAATCATGATTGCAAACCTTATTTCATATTGGTTAGGAGATCAGAATTGGTTAGCACAGTTGACCATAGTTCAATCACCATAGCAAGTCAATTATGTCTGTTATATATTTAAAAAAAATAACTTAAATACAAGAAAGTGTAATTAAAGCAGAACTTAGTCAGTTATGCTAAATGTCAGCAGAGCTGAACACTGAAGCCTGATGAAATTACTTCATTCATATTATCCATATGGAAAAACTAAAAATGTATAGAACATTTAAATAATGTTTATATGCTTCCTTTCTGTCACTTAAAACATGAAAATATTTTTTTTTTCAGTGCCAGGGAGCAAACCCCGGGTCTCATGAGTACTAGGCAAGTCTTTACCACATTCCCAGTCAAAAATAATTTTTAAAATTGCTTTTTCAGTACCTTTCATATGGTCCAGGGTGTTCAATTTCAATTAACTCATCTTGTCCATCAGGAAAAGTTAACTTACACCAACCTAACTTGAGACCTTGATTCACCTTAAAAAGCAAGGAGGAAAGGTAAATTTTATCACTCTAAAACTGAAAACAAAAACATAAACAACCTCTTCTAACTTCATTATCAGTTTAAGAAAATAAGTAGATTGAATCATGAAAATTTTATTTTGACAATTTAAACATTATATTTTACACAACAATGGGTATCAGTCACCACTCACATAATTATTAAGAGAATAAAAATACTAATCCCTTGTGCTATAATGTGTTATCTTTATAAAAATGACTAATTTTGCCACACTGTTCTGGCTTGCTATGAAATCAGTAGTCTCTTGACAGATTTGATACCTAAAAAATTTGAGATAATGTGATTTTGTTTTCTTTGTTCTATATTCCATGGGTAAACAATAAAAATTATCTTAGATAAGAAACTATAGCTAAGGATAATGTATATTTCAAAAAAAAGCAAGAAGATAGAATTTTGAATGTTTTCACCACAAAGAAATAATAAACGTCTAAGGAAATATGTTTATCCTGATCTGAACATTATACAATAAATACATGTATCAAAACATCACACAGTGCCCCATAAATATGTTCAATTTTTATGTCAGTTAAAGATGCTTCAGTAAATCTTAACTCTACACAAAAAAGTAGATTTCAGCTGGGCACAGTGGCACATTCCTGTAATCCTAGTAACGTAGGAGGCTGAGGCAGAGGATCACACATTTGAGGGCAGGCAGCTTCAGCAATGTATTGAGGCCCTAAACAACTTAGTTAGACCCTGTCTCAAAATGAAAAATAAAAGGGGTTGGGGATATGGCTCATTGGTAAAGCACCTCTGGGTTCAATCCCCAGTACGAAAACAAAACCAAAACAAAACATGTAGATTTCAATCTGAAGGATACTTACCTGTCTTTTTTCAACAGAAGAGCTGAAATTCCAATTTAGGGTTACAGTAATGCCATCTACAAAGATAGCATGTACTTTGTCATCAGAGTAGGCAAGAAATCTTCCCATGTTGGGTATGAATGATTCTTGCAAAAGCAAAGGCAATATATTGCTATCATCTATTCCAGATTTCTAAAACCAAGTAAATTTAAAAAGCAGGAAATTAAAGTTATCCATTAACAAGATTTAAATTAACATTAATGAACTCTGAGGCAATTTCCCATTCTGATTCAGAAGTTTAATACTGTAGAATTCTTAAGTATGTTTTAACTTTTCCAGAAGAGGATACCCAAAATAGTCTTATTTCAGAAGTAGATTAAGTTTTAACATCTTTGTAAAACTATTGTTTTCCTCTACATAAAAAATAGACAAAAATTAGGAAATATGGCAACATAGAGGTTTACAATTCAGTGAGTATGGATAAAAAAAGAAATGTCTGAGAATCATTTCCTCCAAATCAGAATTAAATAATTTATTTTTACAGTATAATAAATGTAAAATACACACCACATGATTTATACTATGTTTCAAATACAATCAATTCCCAGTCCCTTTCCCTCCATTAATAGCAAAAACAAACTGGCTAGGGGCTTGGCTCAGAGACAGAGTGCATGCTTAGCATGCTCAAGGCCCTAGGTTCAATCCCCAGCGCCTCCACCATCCCCCAAACACAAATAATTAAGTTTGATTTTTCAGTGTTTGTCAATTAGGTGGGTATTTTTTGAATAATATTGAATAAACCAATATTAATGTTAAAAGAAATTTCTCTCACAACTTGTTTGAAAACAGTTTGATCTTAGAAGTATGATATAAATAATAAAACAATTTTTTAAAATCTTGATTTTGAAATAACTTTAATATACCATTTTCCAGCAGCATATGCAATAGTTATGACTTAAAGAAAGTCTCGTCTTGGCACAATGTTGGAGAATTCTGTGAACATGAAAAAAATTCCTTAAACATTTGCAAATAATGACATCTTCCCATTCTAGTAACCCATCCACAATGCCATGTAACATTTTAGATGACAAGCAAGTCATTTCCACTGAAACAGGTTTTGAATTCTTTTCTTCTAGAAATCCTTAATCCCCTAGAAAGTAACTACTGTTGTTTTCCTCTATACTAATCTTTCCTAGTTAAGGCTATTCCTTCAATTTTTATCAATAAAATGACTCCATGGAGAGAATTAAAAGGTGTTCCTTTTTAAGAGGTGATAGATTTATAGGTCTGAAAGGTTTAGCATAATCTAAAAATGGTGGGTAAGTGAGTCAACTATTTCTGGGATAACAAATTACAAATTCTGCTCCTTTAAATCTATTTTGAAAATTGCTTATAGATGTAAATTTATAAAAATAAATGATTTAATTCAATAATTCATTTTCATTATTCTGGGTGTCACAAATTAATGTTAAAAATAAGTGTACTTCATCTGTAATATACTCTCATAAATCTCTATTAATTTGAGGATAACAAAGAACTAGGAAGTTTTTCAAATGTATCATAAAAAGCCCAACTTGATTTGAAGAATAATAATGATGCCACACTGACCTACAGTAAAGGCGCTTATTTCCTCTAATCACTTGGTCACCATATATGAATGTTTCCCTGTAGTTTTAAAGCCAGAAGTATTCTTGTAATGATATAGATTACCTTATTTTATAAATTATGAGAATAAGGGCTGGGGCTGTAGCCCAGTGGTAGAGTGCTTGCCTCACATGTGTGAGGGACAGGGTTCAATCCTTAGCACCACATAAAAATAAATAAATAAAGATATTGTGTCCATCTTTACAAAAATAAAAAATTAAATAAATTATGAGAATAGAAAAGTTAACACATTTTACCAAAGACATATACTTTTATTTTACCTGCCAATTATTCTCATCTTTAACCAAAGGAAAATGTATCAAGGTTACAGATGTACAACACTTGGTTCAACAGAATGTGAAGAAATTACCTGGTGGCCTGTTTAATCAGAGAACACACAGAGAACGGATTTCCTGGTCTATCTGGAGGAAGGTTATTTACTGAGTAAGTTTTCTCTTCTCTCTGAAAATTAGTTTAAAATGAAAAATCTCATTAATAACATATTTTGCCAGGCAGGCATAGTGTTACATGTCTGTAATCTCAGTGGCTCAGGAGGCTGAGGCAAAAGGATCACAAGTTCAAAACCAGTCTCAACAACTTAGTGAGGCTCTTAAGCAACTCAGGGAGACCCTGTCTCTAAATAAAATATAAAAAAGGGCTGAGGATATGGCTCAGTGTTTAAGTGCCCCTGAGCTCAATCTTCATACCAATAATGATTATTATTATTATTTGCCTTTATTACCTTTTTATTGAAAATGTTTTTACACAGTAATAAGGCAGCAGTTATTTTAATAGTCTAACACTATAATAGCTGTATATTTCAAAGGTTTTCTATGATGCCTTTCCATTGTCCAATTTTTTTAAAGTATAGAATTCCACATATCCACTCTTTTTAGTCAGTTTTTTTTTTTATTTTATTTTATTTTTTGCTGCTGTGATCAAAAAAACCTGACAAGAAAAATATTCAGGAGGAGAAGTTTATTTTTGGTTTCAGAGGTCTTAGTCCATAGATAGCTGGCTCCATTCCTTGGGGCTCTAGGTGAGGCTGAACATCATGGTGAAAGAGTGGTGGAGGGAAGCAGCTTACAAGTTGATCAGGAAGCAGAGAGAGACTCCACTTGCTAGATATAAAATGTTTACCCCAAAGACACACCCCTAATGTACACCTCCTCCAGCCATACCCTACCTGCCTCAGTTACCACTCAGGTAATCCCCATTAGGGGATTAATTCACTGATTGGGTTATGGCTCTCATAACCCAATCATTTCACCTCTGAATGTTCTTGTATTATCTCACATATGAGCTTTTAGGGGTAACCTACTATCTAAACCATAGCACCACTCAATATATTCTAATAGCCTATAACTTACTGTCCAATTTAAATCTTGGCTATACATAAACTAATGTAACAAAACTAATTTTCCTACATATTAGCAGAAACTTTATCTCATAAGCCACTCTTTTACCTGAAGAGAAAAGGCTATATATATATAGGTTTTAAAAATAACTATTTTAATTGGATGAATATATCATTATGTTAAATTTTATTAATGGAAGACCTATTGCTATAGTTAGTGGAAGACAATATTATTTACACAGTTTTTTGTTTTTTTTTTTGGCGGGGATGGTGCTGTGGATTGAACCCAGGGCATCATGAATGGGAGGCAAGAACTGTACCACTGTGCCACATGTCCAGCCCAGCCCTGCAGGATCTTAAAATTAAAAGGAAAAAACAATTATTATTTTGTTATTCCTTCTGCATTTTCTCTTTCTTAGACCTGCTAGTGTTTCCTAGGGCTTGCTTTCTTACATTTAGCTCTTTTTAAGTTACCTGGAATTTATTTTGGAGTATGTATTAAAGCAAGAAGCAAAACAATTTTATCCCCCCAAAAGAGTCAATTGTTTTTAAAGCTTTTCATCAAAGCAGTTAGAGAAGAATGGATGTGTTGAATAGAGCTCTGAGAATAAAGCCCAAAGCAGTCCACCACAAATGAAAATCTTGTTTGGAAATAGGATGTTTTTATCCCAAAAGCTCATGCTTCTAAAGAACATTATATTTGCCTCATTAAAAAAAAATCATCACTCTCCCCCTGACAGCTTTGAGTAAAACTGAAACTCCATGAAGACGTTCTACATTTATCTTGCAATATTGCACATCCCCTAACATACAGCAGTCAGCAGTAAGACTATGCATACTCAACTTATTTGCCTGTTGACTTGATTGGACACAACACACTCACGTACTTACATATACATATGCATTATTAGTTCACAAGTTCATCTCATTTCTTCATTTGTCTCTCTACTAGATTAAGAACTGTTGAGGGCAAGAACTCTTTCATCTTAACCAGTGCGCTTACCAGTGTGCCTACCAAAGGGTAAGTGTTGATGTTTATTGAATGAATGAACACTCTCCTAGAAACAGACCTCTGTAGAGGAGCTGCTCAAATATATACTGAAACATTTACGAATGAAATGATTTTGGGGGTTTACTTAAAAAATAAAATAGGGAATTTGGGGCAGATAGTGGGAAGTATAGATGAACAAGTTGGATAATGGTAACATAAGAATTCATTATATTTGTCTCTCTACTTTTGTACACGTTTGAAATTTTCCATAGTTAAAAAACATCTCCCTACTGACTCTCATGATTTTGTTACTTAAATACTCCACTCTGGGGCAAAGCATTTTATTCTATTCCTACCTATAAAAGAAAATAATGTGATATTATGGTAATTGCTATAATAAGGTGGACATCAACTGTCAGATTGGCAGGAAACAATTTAAAACTCATCAACAAATACCCACATTATTATTTATATGGTCAGTAAACATGTTATGTTTCAGTGTTTTCAAAAACAGAACAATATTATTCAACCATCTAGTTGTATGTAAAGATGAATTAAGAGGTCTTAAACAATTACATAGTGGGTGGGAAGTGGGTGGGAAATCTGCTTTATAATGTACAAATTTATTCATTCACCATAGTATACTGACTTAAAGTTACCGATTTCAGCATTTTCTATTGATAATATAACAGAGGAAATTTAGCTTCTGATTTAAACACAAATTGCTTAAGGTATTGAAGAATAGTAGATTAGAATATAATAAAAATAAGGTGGTTATAACTAACCAGGTGCCAATGCTGACAGTAAGATTATACTAATTTTCCAGAATGAAGAGTTGGAAGCAGTGTTATATAAAAACGTTTCTATATATATTCTGATTTATACCAAAACTCTCTCATAGTTTGCTTACCTCTTCTGATCCTTCTGGACTAGGATAATATGTAAAATAGTTCCCCAAATAGGCTCCCTCTGATTTGAAAACAGATCCATCTCCAGGATAAATCTCTATTGAGTTTACATTTTTATGAGTAAGCCTAAGGAAGAGAAATAATAATTGTTTTTCTAATTGAGATTAAAACATATCTGAAAGGAATCATCAAAAAAGGGAGTAAGCAAAGAAGTACTTTTTTGCTTTTATAGAGAAGTGGATCATTTTATATTCTGAACCCAACCATATAAATCAACTTTTTTGCAAAAGATAAATAGAACACACAGAAGTTGTTTATGTATTTACTTCAACAACTAAACTCAGAGTTTCTGGAATTCAGGTTATCTTGTCTCATTCTCACAGCATCTCCAATGCCAGTCATTGAGGCTGGTACATAAACAGTCACCAAGCTATGTCTACTGCATAGAAGTTCTATACGACACTTCCAGGACCTGAAAATAAACTTTAGTAAAGAACTAGCATAACCAATACCTGATGGTTGAAATATACCAACTGTGCAGGAAGCTGTCCCTTATAGATGACCAGTTATACCCAGAGCAGCCAGGTACAAGCAAAGTATTGGTCATATACTATTTAAAAACTGAAGTTAAAAGTTAATTTTATTGGAACATATATGAAAAATATGTTGTCCGAAGTGGGTGGATCTTTACGTAAGAAATGGAGAGCCCATGCTCACCAAAAAAAATTATTTACCTCTGCTCTTCCAACATTATTCATGGAAGTCAAACTCTCCATCTGGCTAACAGTAATACTGTAAATCATCAGAGAGGTTAAGTAGTAATTGTTGAGTAGAAAGGGGAATCACTGGGTAGGATATCATGCACTAGTGCTGGTACAGAGCAGTTACTCAGTGAATATTTGCTTTGAATCTTTAATTTGCTATCATCTTCTGTAATTCCATGTTCAATAGGTAACCTTGTGATATGGCTAATTCAGACAACTATGTTTTCTGATGCTTAGAAGGAGTATCCTAAATAACTGATATGAATATGACATTCACTAACAAAATTGACTCCTGAATGGCTTTGGAATTGCTGCAAACATCTTGTAAACATGGTTTTTGTGAGTGGGTCACAAGACCCATGTGCACCAATGACATTAGTTCTGAGACTTATAAAAATGCAAGATGAAACACAGGAGTACAGTCTGCCCAGCAAAACGGTGTCCTCTTGCAAGTCTATCTGCAAAGATAGTCCCATCCCATCTATGATACTGTAAATAAATAGTTCTAACTCCAACACAGGTTCCTTACCTATATGTGACACCCTTATACCAAACCACTTTCACTAGTTCAGGATAGGAATATTCTTCACCAGACTCTCTCTGTGCAAGTGAATCACAAAAATTCCACCTGTAGAGGGTAAAATATAGTCTATTTAATTCTGGTTACTCCAAATAATTGTCTTAAAAGTCAGCAAAATAGTGCCACTGTAACAACATTAATTTCTCGATTAACTCATTAGATCAAAGTAAAATAAAATATGAAAGTATATTAATGAAGTTTAAAAACCAATCTTTTTTTCCATTATTTTCAATTGTATCAGGATTAGATCTCAGCACAATTATATATAAATCAACAGTTTTACTAATCTTTAAAATTTAGCCTGAATTCAAACAAAGATTTCCTAAAATGTTTATGGTGGGACAGGCATTATACTCTTAGGACCTAAGAACTCAAAAAAAGCAGATATGGTTCCTGCCCTCAGTGGAGATTCCACCTGGGCAGGAATGTTAAATAGTAATTGTTGAGTATAAAGGGGAATCACTGAATGCTATGGGCTTGTACAATGACCTAGCTTGTCTAAGATCTTTTGGACAACTACCTTAAAGAAGTGAGGTTTACGCTGAGACATGGAAAATGAGCCAAAGTCAGCCAGTTCAGGGAAATGCTCCTGACAGAGAAAAGAACAAGTGTAGTGGTAAAAGAGAACTTGAGTGAACATTCTAGAGATTGCAAAAGTTCAGTTTAGCAAGAGTACAGAAAACAAGGGTAAGATAGTGAGAAAGCTGAGGATTACAGATACAGGAAGAGACTAGATCACGGAAGACCAATTAAGATTAAGGATAATGGTTAAGGAAAAGGATAATGGTTTTCAACCTAAAGTCAGTAGTAAGTAATTAAAAAAGCATAAAATCTCTTTTGAAACATAATCCTGGATTTTCCAATTTTAACAAGATAATCATGAGTGAGTCACTCCCTTATTTTGTTTTAAATAACAAATGAGTACTTATATAGACTACCTGGGATCAAATTTCAATTCTATAAGTACTATCTATGTGGCTTTACTCAAGTTATTTAACATTTCTGGGTCTCAAGTTCCTCTACAATAAGGGGATGGTACTAGTACTTACCTCATGGGAGTACTTTGAGGATTAATCAGGTAAAGTACAACAGTGCCTGGCATTTAAGCTGTTCATATTAGCTTACTCTAAGATCCCTGGACAGATTCCTGTCCCATCACTTACCACATCTAATTAATTTTTAAAAAGATTTTTTTTTAATCGTTGTAGATGGACAGCATTCCTTTATTGTATTTGTTTCATTTTTATGTGGTGCTAAGGATCAAACCCAGTGCTGCACACATGCTAGGTAAGTGCTGTACCACTGAGCTACAGTCCCAGCCCCCAAATTAATTCTTTTAGGGATAGTAACCTTCACTAAACTCTATGTTGCTAGAAAGTAGTGGCTGGGTCTTAAGTCATTTCCCCGGTCACTGTGCTTACCAAAGTATCCAGTGTAGAGTAAGCCTCCCCAAAACATTCAATGCATGGACATAGAATAAGAATTAGATATAACACCTTTGCTAAGAAAATTATTTACCATCTATTAAAAGCAAAGATTTGTGGCTGGGCGTGGTGGCACATGCCTGTAATCCCAGCAGCTCAGGAGGCTGAGGCAAAAGATCCAAAGTTCAAAACCAGCCCTAGCAACAGCGAGGTGCTAAGCAACTCAGTGTGACCTTGTCTCCAAGTAAAATACAAAATACGGCTGGGAGTTCATAACCCACTTGAATCAAAGTGTGAAATATGATATATCAAGAACTATGTAATGTTTTGAACAACCAACAATAAAAATTAAAAAAAAAAAATATGGCTGGGGATGTGGCTCAGTGGTCGAGTGCCCCTGAGTTCAATCCCCAGTACTCCCAAACAAACAAATAAATAAACAAATGCAGATTTGTGTCAATTAAATTAACTTTCCTTGTAAGTACTCCCAGATAATTTAGGAAGAAAATTATGCTTATGTAAAGACTAATTCTCATAAAAGCTTTATGACAAATAAACCATTCTTCCATTACCTGTGCAGGTGTGGGGCAGAACAGCTAAGTAACAGGGTCCTGGGAAGAACAGAAACCTCTTTTCTTCTTTCCTCTGAAACGTCAGAAGTTAAAATTCTACTCGTGATATCTGCAGTTTTAGACATGTTGCTAACTTTATTTTGAAAATGAAGTGCTAAAGACAAAGGGTATCTCCATTCCTCTGGACAGGAGGCGACAGACCAGCACTGCTTTACCCATGTGTATACATATGTGTGATTTGTATCAGGAAAAGGCAGCTCTCCCCTTTCTTCACTTCCATTTATACAGTTCATCTTCCCTAAAGTTTCTTTGGATTTTAAGACCTGGCAATAAAGCTCATTTTCTTTATTCTTCAGTCTTTGTTCTGATAAAGCCCCATATGTACAGATTTTGCTGTTTTTTTCAACTAGTCTACCTTTTGGGGCTTGATTATTTTTTTCTGAAAATACTACAGATGAATCTGGCTTTTGACTAACTTTACACAAAAAATGCACTGTAAATTCATGCTGAGATTTGGGCAGGCAAAGGTATGCATGACCATCTAAAGATGTTATCTTCACAGTGCCACTCTCTGTACATATCATGCTATCATCTGGATCGAGACTGGGCCATCTGACTTCAGAGATGTCAATGAAGATGCACTGCATTAAAAGAAAGGGCATGGTGAGTAATTTCTGTTAACAGTCATATTTTTCAATACTTTTTGAAAAACTTTTTCTTAGTTATACACAAAGTATCTTTGTTTTGTTTATTTATTTTTCTGTGGTGCTAAGGATTAAACCCAGTGCCTCACACGCGTGAGGCAAGCGTTCTGCCACTGAGCCACAATCTCAGCCCAACTTTTGATATTTAAATATCAAAAGTTATTGAGAAAGCTCTTAATGCTTGTTTGTATTTTTATTACTTAGACTGAAAAAATGGAGAGCCTAATATATAGCTGTCTAGAGAATATGTGATAGTTAACATTCTCTCTTTTAGTAAAAGAGGTAGAAAATACACACAAAATGAAAAGAAAGAAGAAAAAAAGTACCTTGATTGTATTTAGTGTTAAACATATTTAGTGTCACAAATATTCTGTGGACTGTGCATGGACTATGTTGCACATAGTAGCCTCCTGAGGGGATAAGTCTGGCACTGGGAACTCCTTGGGGCACTCCCCATAGGGACTGACCACCTGGTACAGGTGGACTTCTCTCTCAAGCTCTACCTAAGATCCCACATAGCACCTGAGATGGGTGTGACCTGCCAAGATGTCAATCAACATGCTGACTGCAAGACATCACAAAACAAGACTCTACCCTTGAAACCTTACCCCTGCCTTTGATGTACCCCCTTAAATAAACCACCACAGCCATTTTGTCTTTGTCTAGTTCAAGAACAAATGTGGACTAGATCTACCAGAGGCTTCGCTTTTGTAAATATATTTCTGAGTGTGTGTGTTTTATTATTTGTTAATTATTTGAGATATTAAGATTTAGAGTGGCTTGGACTCCTCTGGGCAGAAGAACCCCCCCCCCCCAATGAGATGCTGGCTGTCTTCCCCAAAAAAATTTAGGTTTAAAATGTACACTGAATTAGAGATAAGTAGATTGGCATATCTCCCACCCTAAAAGTCTACTCTGAAAAATAATATAAATGAGGAAGGAACCTACACTGTGCCATATTTTAAAAAATATATTTATTTTTTAGTTGTAGTTGGACACAACACCTTTGTTTATTTATTTTTTTAATGTGGTGCTGAGGATTGAACCCAGGCCTCCAGACGTGTGGCATGCTGAGCTACTACCCCAGCCCTACACTGTGATATTTTACAATAAAAGCAATCAGAGCTTAACTGGTATGGAACTAGCACAAAAGTCACTTCCAGAACAATTCAGAAAATACAAAAACAGACTCATTCATATCTTAAATTGTTACAAGTGATAATGTATGTTTTTATATATTATCAAAGGGGAAAAGACAGGCTTACTTAATAAATGGTACTGGAATACTAAATTACTAAATAGCTTTTGGGGAAATGGTGTCTTAGAAGGTTATCACATGGACTTAAAAAATAAGATAATATATAAAGTATCTGCCAGATGATACATGGCATACCATAAACTAAAATAAATTCCCAGTGGCTTAAAGAGTAATTTAAAAAATTTTAACTAATTTGATCCTGACAAATAGGAAAGAGACTCATAACAAATAACAGTGCCTGTTGTGTTTTTTCATCTAACATATAAACAGAGGTGGCGAATACTATCTTAATTAAATGTTTAATTAATTTGACATTTCGGCTTCCATGTATATAAAAACTTAATTTTAAAAAACCTATTGTCAAAAAAAAAAAAAACCTATTGTCAAAAAAGACTCTTGAATTATAGTGCATCTACGTTACAATGCTAAAATAAAGGCAATAATTTTTTTATGGCAAACCTGGTTTGTAAGAATGGTCAGGAACTTTTTTTTTAGAATTAGACTATCTAATTATTCTATTGCAGAATCAGTGGCAAGCTACATAATTTCAATGAATAAAATTACTCAAAAGATACAATGAGGGGCCAGGGATGTAACTCAGTGGTAGAATGCTTGCTTAGCATGAGGGAAGCCTAGGTTACATCTCCAGCACTGAAAAAAAAAGGACAATGGGGAAACAAAACCCTCCAGACTAAGTTAAAGCTTACACCTTTTTACCACTCCTTTGCCACAATACAAAATAATACAATTATTCAGTAGGCAGTAAGCATCATAAAAGCATAAACAGGTTGCAGAAAGATAGTTTGGGGTTATGGGTCAATGGTAGAGCCCTTGCTTATGCCTATCATGCCCAGGGCCCTTGGTTCAATCCCCAGTAAAAAAAAAAAAAAAAAAAATACAGTAAATACAGTCTTCGGAGTTAGAAAAGGTTCAAATCCTAACTCTGCCACTTAGAATATTATTCCTAGTTCTTGGCACATATAGTATACCTTTAATAAATGATGGTGATTATTATTATTATTCCTCAAAATGTAAACTCAAATATAAGCAAAAGAATAAAATTTTTACACATGTAATTACATATTCCTACAGATTAGGCCCTTTGCATTTTATAGCTTGTTTCTACTCCCAAGTGTCCTAGGGAGGAAACAAACAAACAAACAAACAAAAAACTGAACATTAAACTACCAGTTTCAAATTACCTATTCTCAAATCTTTATAAAAATGAGGTTTGAGGGACTGGGGCTGTGGCTCAGTGGTAGAGTGCTAGCCTAGCATGCATGAGGCACTGGGTTCAATCCTCAGCACCACACAAAAATAAACAAATAAAATAAAGGTATTCTGTCCATCTACAACTACAAATTTTTTTTAATGAGGTTTGAAGAAAAATTACCTTTTTTCTTTCAGAAGGTATGATGCTTTCAGATAAAAAAAGGCAAGAAGCTGAAGAGTTTCGAAAATCTAGGGCTCGCTGTAGTTGCTCCTATAAAAAGAAATGTCAGATTTAATCTTTAAAAATATAAAAAGATTTGAAAATCAGTTTAGAATGACAGTAATCCAGAATACTAATTACCTTCCATATTCTAGCCCACTTCAACAATATTTTAGTATTAAAAATAGTAGTTTTATGACATTACTTACTCGGTAAGTGCTAATAACAAAGTGTGTCCTTTGACGAATTCTTTCTGGTTGTTCTAAAGGGTGTGCTGAAACAGGAGGTGACTTTTCAAATAAAAATTCAGAGCCACAGGGAGAAAGCTGTAATTTGGAACCATCAACATACTGGACCTGCACTGAATCATCTTCATAAAGTACCATTTGCACTTCGGCTGCCATTACAACAGGGTAAGAAGTCCTTTCAAGGCGAGACTGAAGGAAATGGAAACCACAATAGCAGATAGTTCTCTTAATGTACAAAAGTTCCACCAAAGTAAATAGATGCATTTTCTAAGAACATAAGAAAAACACTGCCACTGCATTTACTTTTGCTGGAAGGAAAGTGATCTTTCTACAAACACTTTCAATGATCTAAAATTAACATAATTAACAAAATGCCTTGATTAGCTCCTAGGACTTCACTCCACAGGCACATAACCTAGATGGAGAAGATAGCTCACAAATGTTAAAACTGTCTTTATCAGTTTTTGTAGTTTTACTTTTCCTGAGGTTTAATTTTTGTAAACTACATATATGCTCAGGATATAATTTCAAATAACAAGCAAATTACACTGTTGCAATAGGAATGCAGGGAATCATCTGAGGTACATGAGACTGAGAAGCTGAGTCACAAGGAACTATTAGGCCTAAACCACTGAAAAAGAAATTCAACTGCCTGGATTCTTGTCCCTAGCCTGGAGTTAAAAAAGTAGTTCCACGACACTAGTGAATCAGCTAATTAAACTCTTAGTGTCTTACATTCATCCTCATTTCCTGAATTTGATTTCTTACCTCGAAATGATTATCTTCACTTGTGTTCTTCATATAGGTATAATGGAAGGGCAATTAGAGAACTAGGTTTCATTGATACTCCACATTTACTAGTTTATAGTCCCAGATTGTTTCATTTGTAAAATGGGTAGTAATAGGATTATGAGGATTAAATGAGAAAATACACATGACGGTGTCTAGCACGGTAAAAGTTGCCTTGTAAGAGATCAATAAATCTTATGAAATATTTTTATTCCTTTTCTAATAATACATCCTGCTTCCCCTTCCATATTATCCCCTTGATTTCTCCAGTGATCAAGTTTCACCTTTCAGAAAAAATAACTTTCCATAAATAAGACCTTCCTGTTTTATCCCTATTTCCTATCCATAAACTTCTCAAGTGTAGTAAAACTCTTATTGCCCACTTTCTCTCTTATCAATCTTGGATTCATTACAATTCAGCTTTCTCCTCTCCCTCTCTATTGAGAATGTTTCACAATAGTCACCACTGTCTTCTTAATACCCAATGACTTCAGTCTTTATCCTACTAGAGATCTGATTAATCTGTGAAAATGCTGTTAAACCTTCCTTTGCACTAAATTTTCCCTTTCGCTACTACCATCACCTCACACCCCAGTTTGGGATGTGAGAGAAGTAAAGAGTTTCTCTCTACTTCTATTGCTCTTTTTAATCCTTTTTTTTTCTTTATTCCCTAAATCAAGGATACTTCAACCCTGACCTTCATCTCTTCTTACTATACTTATGTTACTTTTAAGCTTCACCCTGACTTTTTAAACCTCACCTCATTTAAATTGCATGTGATATAGCCCATAATCTTGTGTGGACTATGTCTGAACATAAGTATTTAGCTATATGGTCTCTTTTGAGGAAATCACACAATTCTATTTATTTTAGTTCTCTAGAGAACTTCTGATCTTCCTCCAGAACTTTCAGCTAGCTGCGTGCTATCCTGGTAGGTTGCTCTCCATGTGTCCTACAGATAAATCAAATTCAATATGACTAAAATGGAGCTTAATCATTCCTACCCAAAGCAGACTTCTAGGCTCAGTGGTAGAGCACTTGCCTAGTATGTGTGAGGCACTGGGTTCGATCCTCAGCACCACATAAAAATAAATAAATAAATAAATAAATAAGCAGATTTCTATAATATTCCCTAATTTCACTTTCACTCTTATCTCTTCCCTTAAGTCCAGTCTAAATTCAGTAGTCAAAGCAATCTTTTGAAATAAAAATCAGATCTATCATTTGCTGGCTTAAAATTCACCAATACGTTCCACTCTCACTTGGAATAAAATTCAAACTCCTAGGCGTAGCCTACAAAAGGCCACACAATCTTGTCCTCTTTCTCTGTCTCCAAATGTTATCTCCTAACTCCCTTCCCCTTGTTCAGGACATTTAGTCATATTGGTCTTTTTAACATTCTTTAAATAATTTCTTTCCTATCTCAGAATCTTTGTACTGGTCTTTCTGACTTTTCCGTGGTTCATCACATCATTAGTTCTTTGTCATCCTTAAGGTCTCAACATAAATGTCACTCCCAAAAAGGCCTAACTTGACCAACTAAGTTAAAGTTGCTCCCAATCACCTCCTATCCTACTTCATATTTTTTCTTCATAGAGTTTATTACTATCAAAAGTGACTGTTTTGCACTTTTCCATTAGGGTATAAACGCAAAGAGGCAAGGACCTTTCCTATCACATTCACAATTCTATCTCTGACACCTAAAACAGTATTAGGCAAATAACAATGGTACAATAAATATTCAGTGAATGATTAAAGAATAAATAATCACATTTAAAAATTCTTGCTCCCCTCAAGTTTGCAGTTTCAGTTAATGGCACTTAAAAGTAGATTAGCAATATGTATTTGAATTCTTACATGCCCCTGTAACAAGTCCTGTTGATTCTCTCTCTTGAACTTGGCTTTCTTTACACCCGCACTTTTTTTTTTTTTAAATCAACTTTCTCCGTAACTTCTGCAGCCGTCTAGGACCTTTTCCCTGTTTTTTTCCCTCTTTATTCCATCTCTAATATTGCTGTCTTAGGGAGCTTTCTACAAGTTAGGCCATACTAACTGCTTAACATCCCTTGTTTACATACCTGCTAAATGGCAACAAATTGTAATGTTTCTATCTCACACATACACACACACATCCCTCAGATATGTCTCCCTGATGTTTCAAGAAAAAAAGTGGTGCTTATTTTCTTATTCCAAATTGCATAAAACGGTTTCTATTATTGGCCAAGGTAAAAAAAAAAAAATAGCTGGGGTTGTGGCTCAGAGGTAGAGCACTTGCCTAGCATGTGTGAGGCACTGGGTTGGATCCTCAGCACCACATTAAGTAAAATAAAGACACTGTGTCAACCCATAACTAAAAAATAAATATTTAAAAAAATAGCTTTACTGATGCATAATTACTTTTAATTATCTTTGGTACAGGAAATTTAACTCAGTGGTGCTTTACCACTGAACTGCATTCCCAGTCCTTTTTACTTTTTTATTCTGAGGCAGGGTCTCACTAAATTGCTGAGGCTGGCTTAGAACTTGGGACCCTCTTGCCCCATCCTCCGGATTACAAGTATAAACCACCGTGCCTGGCTATAACTGCCTTTTTTTAAGGCTTAAATAATCAAGCATACACAAGAAACAATGTAGTGCTCAAAGTCCCTGACATATCACAAGAACCATAATCTGGCTCCAACCTTCATTTCCACCATTCTCACACCCAGCATATTATGTCAGAATTTAATGACAGAAAAAACACAAACTAATCTGTTCTTGACATCACTGGGCAACTCACTTATCAAAACATGGTATCTAGTTACCGAAAAAGCCTCATTCAAACAACCACAAACGACACACTCACACAGCAGTTCTGAGCTGCAAGTTGTGGGAAGGAGGTCTCTTTGAGTTTTAATTTGTCAAAAAGCTTGAACCGCACAGCGTCCGCGCCTGCCCACGACTGCTTCTTCAGGAACACTTCTTGAATTTAAAAAAATTCTTGATGAAGGAAAACAATCTGTTGCAGAGGCCTTGGGCCACAGAAGAGGGTTTTGGCTGATAAGTTTTGTGGTTAAATCCCCGCAACGGGAGATGGGCGGCAGCGCCAACGGCGACAACTAGGAACAAGGGGAAACTACAGCGGTTCGAACCTCGGCGCCAGGGAAGCAGCTATACGTCTCCGGAACAAGAAAAACCGGAAGTCCCGCCCCGAGTCCCGGGCCACACCCCGGCTCGCTACCTGCAAAGGGAGGGGCAGGAAGCGCGGGAGAGGGTGGGGTTTCTCAGACGGATATCTGGTCTGCGCGCCTTCGGCCTTCACTTCCGATACGTGACTCGGAAGGGGAGCTGCTTGTACTTATGTTGGTAAGCGACAGCCTTGTAGCGGTGCAGCCAACCACTGACCAACCACCAGGGTGGTGTCAGCGGAGTGATCCTTATGTAAATAACCTAAACAACAATTATATCCCTCAGTAAAGCTGATTAAAAAAAAAAACTTACAAAACTTGGCCTCTTCCTCATAAAGCATCAGAAAATGTCTTCCAACTATATTTACTAATTACCATTAACAAGAATTTACCGAGAACATACTATGTTTGCCTTTAAATAGTATGGCTGAAAGCAAGCTCCTTTAAGCAGCATTAGGGCGGAGAGAGGTCTAATGGGGAGAGAAGCCTGGAGTGTGTTTAGTGGGCAGGGGCCAGATCATTATGGATTTGAGTTGTGGACTATTAGGAAAAGAGCACGTCTCTTTCTGGCCCAGATTTTTGTTTTAAAACAGCTTTATTGAAGTATACTTGTTTATTGCAAGGACTTTAAGCAAAGGTGGCAAAACCGACTGATGGGAAGACATCTAACTTCCTAAATTCACCTTCATTTCTAAAAGACTGATATGCAAATTGATCTGTCTTCTGTGAAGTATAAAATGTCGAATGGCACTATACAGTGCTTAGTTCTATTCCATCCCCACCATTTCCTCCTTCAATGTCTAAAAACTTCTTGAATAGAAATTCTACTAAAGAAGGATTTTGTGATCCTACTTGCACTTCTGAAAGATCTTGTAACTGCTTAAGAGAATAGATTGTAGGATGCAAGAGCAATATGGCAAAATCACTAGAAAGCTTTTGAAAAAGCATCAGGAGAGAAAATAGAACTTAGTACCTAGGCAGTAAGGAAAGAGAGCACAGCTCCAAGAAATATTTAGGAACTCCACTCTCTTCTTGGGGATTATTGAACCTGGAACTTGAGGGAGAGATGTAGGAGTACAAAATAATGCCAGGGTTTCTGATTGGAGCAAGTGGAAAGGTTGCAGGGCCACCATTGAGAGGGAGGAATAAATTCAGGGATAGCATGACTTCAATTTTCTAAGTCTACCTGGTGGAAATGGTAAGTTAGTTAAAAGTCTGGAATCAAGAGATACAAACAAATCTATAGGTTACTGGCTGATAGGTACTAACTGCAGCTACAGGAGAGGATGAACAGTCCTAGAACATTGTAATATGAGAAAAAGAGAGTGGTTAGTACTGAGCTTTGAGAAACACCAATACTTACAGATTAGGTCAATAGAAGCCCACAAAAGAATTGAGGAGGAAAATAATAAAATAGAAAGCAAGTTATTATGTCTTAGATAATTAGAGATTTTCAATTTTTGTGTCAGCACTGCCAGAAGACAAGCTAAATTGTTTCCTGGGGCTGGGGTTGTGCCTCAGTGGTAGAGCACTTGGCCTAGCATGTGCGAAGCCCTGGGTTCAATTCTCAGTGCTACATAAGCAAATAAATAAAGGTCCATCAGTAACTAAAATATATAAAAAAAAGAATTGTTTACTGAATTTAGTGATGTAGAGGTTGCTCATGACAATAGTGATGCTCATTGTATATAGTGGAGAGGCATAGTGGATTTGAAGATCAAGTAAGAGACAAGGGAATGGAGAAAATGAGAAGTCTATGAAGTAGGCATAGAATTATAGTTTGAGAGAAATACCAGGGCCAAATCTCTTTTCTTCATTGGAATGACATGTTCAATAGATGATGCAGGGTTAGCTCAGGCAGAAGTAATCAGAGGATGAAGGGGTTGTTAAGAGTGGAAAGGATATGAAGCACTTAAACAGAAATTAAAAACAGATGATTGGCAGTGCTGAGAACCTAACTGAAGATGGTGATCGTGAATTTACAATAGTACAAACCTACAGAAAACATGCTTTACAGCACTGTTGGGTTCCTCCAAGGTTGGTGTTTTGCCAGGGTGACACAATAGGGCAACAGCATACATGAGCTTAAATTATTTACAACTGCTAAAGTCTAGTCAACCAAAGACCACTAGGCTTAAGACTATCATCCAGCAAAAATCAATTATTAACTTGCAAGCAAAGAGGCACAAACCAGGGGAACTGAAGATGGTATATTCCACTAGGGGGAGGACAAAGCCATCTTTGGTAAGGTTTGAATTTCTGCTGAAGGATTCTGAGGACATATAAGGGAAGGTTTTGGGTGGGATTTTGTTTCTGCAGCAAGACTGGAAGCGCAAGCCAGGCAGGGTGGTGCATGCCTGTAATACCAGTGACTCAGGAGACTGAGGTGAGAGGATCACAAGTCTAGGCCAGCCTCAGCAGTTTGGCAAGACCCTGTCTCAAACAAACAGGGACTCAGGATGTAGCACAGTGATAAGCAGCCCTGGGGGCTCAATCCCCAGTACCAAAAAAAAAAAAAAAAAAAAAAGACTAGAAGTGGAGATTAACTAGATTTTAGGTGCTGTCATGAGTCAAGAGAAGTTAAGCAACTGGATATCCCAAGTAACAGATGGGCAGAAATAGTTCTCAGGGTTTCATTATTAACAAAGCAGTAGTCACACAAAGTGGGGGTCATAATGGCATTTTACAGCTGCTATAGGACCATAGAAGAAAATTATTTTCTGTTAACTTTGCAGCTGGCTTTGTCTGTCCTCCCAACCTAACAGTATAGGTACTTTTCTCTTTTCAGTTTGAGCTGATTTTGTCACCAACAGGTTTGTTACTTTCTCATCAAACATCCTCTCTTGCTGAAGGACTGAATTTTCAAAAACAAGTACAACTTAATCCACACTCTTCCCTAAAGATTTAATACTTATAGAACTACCCTTACTTTCTGACAATACCCAATCCAAAGTGACCTTCCAGTGTCATACCATTCCTCCAAACTGCCCAACAAAAACCCAAATTATATTTTATGTTCCAACACCCTTTGATATATACTTCACAGTGCCCCAAAGGTACATGTTCTCTCTAAATGCAACACACCCAACATGTTTAGGTTTCTGGTAGTGTTGGCCGAAAGGCACCGATATGAACAATTCTGAGTTGATGACATGAAAGCCAAGTTAAAAGACCAATGTTTGTACTTTGTTGCCAGAACACAGCATTATGACACATGCTGGCACTCAGGTCTTTGCTCACTGGAGACTTTTTACTAATAATTCTGACAACAGACATTCATACATGATCCTAAAGACAGCCATTCTAATGGCCAGTAATTGCTGACTCAAGGCCAATCCTTCATTAAAACACTTAAGCAATCCTTGATGACCTTTTGATATGGCTTTAATAACTCACTTAGCACCAAGAAAATGTAGAAGTAATGCTACATGATTACTCAATGCTGCTTTGTTTTGGAATACCCAATTTCAGAATCTAGCCAACATGCCATAAGAAAATCCAAGTGACATAGACAAGCCAAGTGTAAAGTGTAGATGGCTCTAGTCAATAGTTCATCTAGTTGTGGCTTCAAGTTTCTCAGTCCAACCACCAGCCACATGAGAAGATGACTTTTACTGATTATAATTCTGAGCTGCTAGAGCTATTTCTAGCCTTTAGTTTTCTTACCAAGTCCCAAGATATTATGCAACAGAGAAAAGCCATTCATGTTGTACTCTGTCCAAGTTCCTAAACCACAGAATTCATGAGAATAAAATGGTTATTTTAAGACACCAAGTTTGGACATCTACCCCCAGAACTGGCAATGAAACCATAGGTCTTATGCATCCTAGGAAACTGCTCTACTACAGAGTTACATGACAAGCTCCTAGGTGGTTTTTAAAGCAGAATATATATATATAACATATATTGCTCCTGTTGCTAGCTACTATGAGTAGCAATAGGTGGTAATAAAATCTAGTGGACAAATATTGGATGGTTATTCACAGAGCTAAGGCAAGTATAGGGAATAAGTGTTCCTTAGTGCTTATAGTACATTAGACCAGGGACTATCTTTAAAGAGCTGTAGATTATGCTAATAGCTAAGTTATAAGAGTCATTTTGAAAAACAAATTCCCTTACAACTTCCTCAAACCCTAACTACATATATACTCCCCCTTTACAACAAGGGATCTAAAAGCTTTAATGTATATTTGCTAGTTTTTCAGGTAGAATTGTTACTCAAAAAGGTAGAATTCTTGTTCAAAAAGGCATAGAATTAAATCTTTCCTAAGTTTTTTAATTTTAAACCTTTTAGTAAATTTATAACAAATTCAGTAACAATTTCTTTAAAATACCAGAATACCACTTAAAAACTTAGAAGAAACAAAACTATTTATTTTCAAAGTCTAATTTTAATTCAGACTGAACAAACAAGCAGAAAAGTGAGAAAGCTAACTGTATTAGCAGACACAGATGTACCAAGTGTAAAACAGTGGGTTATTAACAGAACTATTTACATGCATATTTACAAGCAACCCTTTTATATGTACAAGTTTCAGTTAGTTGAAAAAAGATATGACATTAAGTAAAAATACTACTTAAATAGGGTTGAGGTGGTACCACATTATAGTAAAAGTATTAGAAAAGTGACCCTCAAGGTATATCAATTACAAAGCAGATGAAAACGTGAAATATCTAGTAAAATTCTCTAATTAAAAAAAAAAGTGAATGCAATCCATGCTACAAAATAAAAGTGAGAAAGCCATATAAATAAAAGCAGAATAATGTTCTAGGCCTTAGGGTAATGAAGTTAGTGAAGTGAAACAAAAAAGAACAATTCTTGAATTAGAATAAATCCTCAGTGAAGAGAGTCTTGGTGGTTTAGTTGGAGAGTTCTAAGGTTTTTTTGTTTTGTTTTTTTCCATTAATGACACTTTTAAAGCCCTTGGTATCCAATAACATCTACATATGTAAATCAGTTGTTGATATATTCCAAGACCCTTAAAGATTTTCATGATTGTGATTAATATGAGATATATCAAACTGAAATAAAATCTATAATAGTCATACCTAAGAAAAGAATGCTACATTTTTGCAGTAATATGTATTTCTAGGCTAAGACTTTTTCCCCTCAAGAACTTAAAAGTATCTAACCAGCTAGCAAAATTTACTTTCAACATTTCATTTATTTCAAAATCAATTTTATTGCAGCCAAAACAGTGGAATTAACTGTACATAATAAACTATTTTATATATATACACATTTTAAGTTATAGGGAATAAAGTTTATTTTGGCAGATAGTGTTAAACAAAATTAAAGTTGCATACATTAGTAACATAACTCAACATCCTTAATTTGGTATAAGTGTGACACATTTTCTTGCTTTCCTGTGTTCTGCTAAATCACCATACCTAAACTGTTTTATAAAACTGATATGCTGAAATTTAACTTTACTGTTTTCGCTTACGCTCTGATTCCAAACAAAACTTTTCATAAGCTTCTTCAATCTCTGGGTCCATCTCATCATCAATATCATCCAAATATCTGTAAAAACCAAAGATGATTCAGAAGTTTAATGTTTTTCAATTTATAAAGATATAAAGCCACAAAAAAATTTTGACTATTTTCCTAGTTTGAATTATGATAGAAAACAAGCCTAATTTCAGAGTTGCCTAAAAATGGCAGTCCCCCAGAAAACCAGATGCTTATTTTGACAAGTAAACTTTTACACCAATTCTGAATTCCTTGTATTGAAGACTGTTATATTTTCATATTTATTGATCTAAAAGTTAACCAAGGCTTGACATATATCAGTCTTAAACTCCAAATTTATATTATCAACTTACACCTTATCATTAAACAAGTACACTTTAACTAGAAAATAATTTCAGATATGCCATTCACCTTTGGTGATGCTTTAATATTTCATGTCTGCTTAACACCAGGAAATATTATCCTTTCTATGGTTACATCTACTTAACATCAAGAAAGTGTTATTCCTGCTATGGTTGCTCCTAAAATGACTAGTCAGTCACACTTCCACTTACCTGGAAGTAGATTTCTATAATAGGAAGTTACTTTTTAGATCATCTATTGCAGATTTTCCCCCTCAATTATTAGAAAGTTTAAGGAACTCTTGCTTTTTAAGTATTTGGGGGAAGAGGAGGACATAAAGTGCCAATTAAGGACTTAATCTACTCATTCTTATTGAATTTCCATAGCCATCTTAAAAAGACAGATACTGCTATCATTTTAGTTTTTTAAATATTTGAAGAGACTTTAAAAGAGACACCCTGGGAAGTTTGTTGGCTATGTATATGGCAGGAATAGAATTTGATTCAAGATCTTTTCCCTTTTCTATATCTTTGCTCCCCACCACATGATGCTGTCTACATTGCCCTCCCACCCTATCTGCCAATAATCCCTTTTACCTTTACAAGTGTAACCAAAGTATTTTGCCAATGCTATCAACTGGTGATGAGTCATTATCTTTCAGATTCTTCCCCATTTCCAATACAAGGCTATGTGCTGAAACAACCATGAGTTCATTAGGGCAAATGAGTATGATGTTTACTGAATAAACTTCAGAGACTATCCTGAAGCCAATGCCAAAAATTGTTTTTACCATCCAGTGGTATGTCAAGCAGGACTAAGCCTTCCTAGTTCTGCCCAGATACTTAAATCCTTGTATTTTGACAATAAACCAGTATAAAAACATAGAGCAACATTATATTTCTAGATCCTAAATGACTATAATTAACATCACTAAAATGGAGGCAGTTCATTTTTTTTTTTAAACCAAGAACATACATGAGATGAGAAATTAGAAATATTAAAGCCAAACAAAACATCCCCTCCACCCACCACCTCCTGCTTCGGAAGAAAAAAACCTAAGTAGCTTGTCAAAATATACATGAACTGTTAACTGAGCTGGGAAAGTGGCAGGTGAAGAAACAGATATGAAAACTATAACTTATATCTCCCTGTCAGCCCAAATATTTCTATATAGTAATGTGTTTTCTTCACTTTTCATCTATCCTTTAAACAACTAAGATTTGAGCCTTTTATTATTGCCAGAAAGCTGTTAAGTATATTAAATTTTCATTTAGTTGAAGGTACTATTATTCTTATCTTACAGATGGAGAATCAGGCAAAGAATCTGCCCAGACCTTACACTAAGTATTAAAGCTTCTTAAAATCTAGGTATAATAGAATCTTTTTAAAAAAGTTACACTCTAGTATACTATCATTTAAGTTTTTCCTTCTCAACTATAGATTTCCAAAATCAGTCTATGAGATTTCCACATGATTTCTGAATATTTTTAGTATACAAGAACCTCTATACAGTATAGTTAACACTATCAAATCAAGATGCTATTCTTGAGCTGGGGTTTTGCTCAATGGTAGAGCACTTGCCTAGAACGTGTGAGGCACTGGGCTTTATTCTCAGCACCGCAAATAATTAAAATAAAGGTCCATTGACAACTAAAAAAATATTTTTTAAAATGCTATTCTTTCATAATTTTTTAGTCTAATCTCCATCTAAAAATTAGCCACAGAAACTTCACAAAGAAAATCAGTAATTAAAGAGAACTTACGGATCACCACCCCCTGATAAATCTGTTCCATTTTCTTCATAATCTGGAAAAAAGTCCTCTCTTTCAAGTAATTCTTGATATTTCTCTTGGTAATCTATAAAACAACAGGAAAAAAACTAAATACTAAAAAAATAAATCATGAAATGACCAGCTACCTCTAAAAATTCTTTTTAACATTATGACTGATATTTAAACAGAATATGAAAAATAGCTTTCATAAAACATATTCTAATTGGCTTGCTGTTATGGTTTGGATATAGGATATCCCTACTACAAACTCTTGTTAATGCAGGAAAATTAAGAAATAAATTAATAAGCTTACTAAAAATTGTAACATAATCAGCCCATCAGAGTTTGAGAATGGACAGATTGAGTGTGGTAACTGTGGGTAGGAGGGGTGTGCCTAGAGGAGGTGGGTTGCTGGGGGCATGTTCCAGAAGGGTCCATCTTCCCTGTGGCCCCTTTTTCTGCTTCTTGACCCTGTCATGAGTTGAGTAGCTTTCCTCTACTGGGCCCTTCCCTCATGATGTGTTGCCTCATTTCTCTTGGGCCCAGAGCAATGGAATTGGCCAAACATGGACTGAGACCTCACTAAAACCACAATCCTCAAATAAAACTTTTCCTTCTTTAAATTGTTCTTGTCAGGTATTTTGGTCACAGTGATGAAAAAGCTAACTACTAAACATTTGCTTTTGCCCCACAGCATGTTCATAAATCTTAATTATATACAATACTCCTCTAAATTTGGAAATCAAATCAGAGTACATTCATTTGATTTCTAAACCAGAGGACATTCCATAGTCAAGATGTACGCTATTTGCACTCTCTATGCTGCTTCCCCTTCAACAAAATAGTGGCTACATGACTATTTTGGAAGAACACTTTCTTCCATACTCCTATTATTCCTTCCTCCACACAGGAAAATTTCAATCAAATATTCCTAGCTTCCAGCTCCCTCTTTGCTCCTCCTCAAGAAAGTAAAGTAAGCTCTCTGGCTATCTGGTAATGGCAACTTGTTCAACCCAATAAGGCTCACCTACCAAAGGTTCTGAGTGTAGACGATTTTCTTTTCCCTTCCCTTACCAACCCAAAAAGGAAGCTACCTGGCGTAGGTTTCAGCTCTGCCAAACTTTCACTAAGTCCGAGTCTCCCAAGGTGCTAGAGGTAACATAGCTACCAGCTGTTGCAGGCAGGTAGTTACTTGGTACCTTTTTAGATTAACGTGAATCTGTTGAGTCTTTGCCTCTGAATAATAAAATGGATTAATTTATTATAGCTAATTACCTTCAAATTAGTTTCTTATGAACAGAAGTCACTTCAAATTTTGAGAGGATGCCATGTTTTTCCAAGGCTGTCAGTCTCTATAAAACTCAATTCAGCTTCAAGGGTTGGTAATATTTTGACTTCAAATGTGGCAACTTAGAGACAATTTTAATCATAAAACCTTCCTGTTACAATGCTTGGAGGTACTAGATAAGACATTCTTTTAAGTATTATGGATACAATTACAAAGAAAAAAAAAATCAAGCCACCAGATGACTAATGAAAAATAACTGAAAGCCATCCATAGCTAATACAGCTGCTACAGCAGGGAAGGTGACAGATGATTCGAATCTCAGAGACTAAGGAGCTTGGAAAGATGAGAAAACAAGGTCTTGGGTCCATGTGAAAAGGAAAATGAATCCATGTTCCACATTCACCAAACCCCAAACCCTCCAAGGGTTAATAGCTTAAACAAAAGATGGGAACAGGGAAAATAATTCAGTGGCAAAGATAGATAACAAGGAAGTTTGGATGTCAGTCTGGATTTGGAATGGGGACAGAGCACTCAAGAAACCGGTTTCCCCAGGAGTTCATAACAATGAGCCTATAACTCAAATTTCTGCTATCCATATAAAAAACTCTGCCAAACAAAAAAGTTAACTTGTTCCATATCAGTAATATCCCTGTGGTTCCTGACAGAAGCCTATGTAAAAATCGTTTTGGATAAAGGTTCCTAAACTCTTAGCCACAGAGGTTTTTAATAAAGAAAAACAAAAGACAGTTAAATCACTAAAGCATTCATACAAAGCCATAATATATATAACTTAAAATAGTTTAGGGAAAAAGTATGAACAGGACAAAAATGATAAAGTAAATTGAGTAAACTATTAACAAAAAAGTATGCCTGAGTAAAGAGTAGATGGATATTTTTGTGTAATTTTTACTTTTGCTACTTTTCTGTGAATTTGAAATAATTTCCAAATGAAAGTTTTAACAAAGACAATTAAGGATGAACTTTCAATAAAAATATTATGTAAGGCAACAATTTGTGTGAAAATCAAATAACAGAGTAAGACTAAAAAGAAAATAAAACAAAAATATGAAAACAAAAACAAGCTTAGACAGAATGAGAAAAAGGATTTGAAACTCCACGGTCAAGGTAACTTGAAAAAAATGCAAAAAAAAATTTCAGTTTGAGAAAAATCACTATAAATAAGACAAACAGGTTAGACAAAGAACAAAGAATCAATCTGAATCTAGGTAACTGAAGATTAAGTGAAGAAACAAGATTTGTATTACCAGACATGGCAAACTTACGGCAAAATAAGAATAATTAAGGGTGTGGTATTGGTGTAGAAAGGGTACATAAGATGCACATGAACGAATGAAGTACACAGTGAAGAACAGAGAGACTTCTAACTAAAAGAGGAAGGATGATGACTAAATACTTGTTGGTGAGCAAGACTACAAAAATATTTAATTCTCACCATATCCCATATATAAATAGTAGCGAGGTAGGTGAAAGACATAAAAAGCAACAAGGCAAGACTTTTAAAAGAAAAATGGAATTTGAGAGTGGTTAAGAAAAACCACAGGAAGCACAAACAAGACATACAAAATAGAAAAGCAAATGCTATAAGAAGATAACTGAAACCCTCAGCCAAGATCATCTTTTTCTAAACTATATAAGGAATTACAAATCAGTAAGACAAACAATTAGTACAGAAACATGGGCAAAAAAGTACAAATAGTAAATTGTCAAAAGCGGAAATCAAAAGGTCAACAGAAAAATAAATTTAGTATGACTAGTCAGGAAATAAAATGACAGGATAGAATTTCATACAATCTGACAAAAATTAAAATCTGATAACAAATGTTGCCAAGGATAAGGGGCAGGAAACCTCAGGAGCTGCTGGTAGGACTATTAAATGGCATGATCACGTTGGAAAGCAATTTAGCAAGTAACTTAATTCCACTTCCTCACCCTAAATAAGAACTTCTTTGTGATAGAGGAACATTACAATCAATGCCTGCTATTCAGAGCAAACAGTAAAATCCCAACCATATATGACTAAATACTTGCTGCTTATAGTTTGAACCAAATAAAAGAAAATTCTCTTGCTCACCCTACAGCTCCATCTATCACTGTTAAAATTATCTTTCTATAAATGACCCTTTTCTGGAAGGGGAAGTATATACAGATTTAGATTTTAATTAACTTTGAATCACTATTAATAAAATCTGAAATTCTTAATATCTATAGTATTAACACATATAAGTTGCTGACTATGTAGTAAAATAGAACCATCTTTCCCTTCCACCCTATATCTTAAAGTTTAAGAGTATAAAAACAAAACACTAAGGAGAAATATGAAATAAAAATGGCTGCATTTAATTGAAGGATTTTTCTAATTCTTAATTGTTAAAGTAGAATGGCCAGACACTATACAGTCAAATTTTCATTTGAAATGGTATGTGGTCAATATAAAATATAAAGAATATTCTATGTAAGATAAACCTTTACCCTAGTATTTGAGAGTACAGTGAAGTCATCAAAAAGCTACAAATTTGTACTGGTGATGAATGGTTTTCTGTAATTTATTACTTTATCATTAAAAAAAAAAAAAGAAGGCAAAAAATATGACAGACCACATACCTGGATCAGCTGCAGTGAAAGGAACACCATCAGATGTATAAAATGTCGGTTCATTCTAGGATGCATCAAAGTGATAAAAATATATAATCATTTTCAGAATTTTTTAAAATACCTTTGTTTTATTTGTTTATTTATCTATTTGTATGTGGTGCTGGGAATCGAACCCAGTGCTTCATGCATGCTAGACAAGTGCTCTACCACTGAACCACAACCCAGCCCCATTTTTAGAGTTTTTAAAAGTATATTAATTAGTACAGAATGGCTGATGTTACTATCTGCACTTGATAATGCAAGAATAAGCAAAAAACCTTTCGCTTTTCAGCAGCCGTTTCATTTCACTAGGAAAGTATAATTTTCAGATTTTTATTCTATTATGCCTTTATAGTTCTAACTTTGCAGTCTAATGTCCATCATATTCCTGGTGAATAATCTATTATGCATTGTGATTTTGTGTCAGTTCATTTTTAGCTGTGGTTCCCTCTGCCCTACCACAGCTTTAAGAATTTCTAAGACTGGGGTTGTAGGTATATTTCTCCTTAGCTGCTTTATGTCTGGTCATAGTCAGAAGCTACAGGGCACCATTAGCCTGTAACTATTTTCACTTTATTTTACTTTACCACAACATACAAAATCTGAAATGCAGGACTTTGGCTGGTTTTTCTAGAAAAACTCCCGGCATCTCAAGGCTTGGACTTAAGCATAATCAATCTCCCTTTCCAATGGATAGACTTTTCTCTAATCCACCCTCTTTTCACTGGAGGATTTCCTCTCTTTATTTACCTAGCCTGTTGATTCCTATGTGATTCTAAGCTTGAGAAAAGTATTATTAGGAACTGAATTATTAGAAAAGCTTTACATAACTAACTTCCAAAACTGAATTCAAGCAGTAAGCAAAATTTAAAATATAAACACTGACATACCATAAAGTAGTTAGGATCATTTTCAGGTGTTGCTTCTCTGTATGTTGAAGTTGCATGGACTCTACCCCAGTTACTTGACCGGAGTTCAACAAGCTTCAAGAGCATCTGTTTTACATCTCTGCAGACAGAAGTTGAAAATGAGTTTAACCACCATTAAGTGCTGTCAGGTTCTAAAATACAGACTCATAAAACTTTATATCCTAAATTTACATATATACCCAATGCTTTATAATTTTCCAGACATTTCCTAAAAAGATATAATTCATTTTTAATTTTTATTTTTAGAACAGAGATTTGAAATTTGTCCCACCTGACTATCTGGTTCTTAAAGGCAACAATTACCCTTTAAACATTTGGTCCTTTACTATGCTTGCAGTAGTTCTTTATGCAAATAAATTAAAGTCTTTTTTTTATTTTTCACTAGACTCATTTTTGGAAAACCTTAATTTTTTTTTTTAAACCTAAGAGAACAAAAATGACTAATGAGAAGCCACTTGTAAAATATGCCTTTGAAGAACTATTTGTGTAGATCAATCTGTAAAATTTCTATTACTTTGATGACATATAGCAGATTAAAAAGAAAAGGTAACTGAAATCTACTGGCTTCTTTTCCTACCTGCTACAGTTTGCATCTAGGACAACATTTTCAATTCTCTGAATAATTTCTTCCATATCAGTTTTTCCTTTTTCCTTCCAGGCATCTTCCAAAACTGATCCTGTCAACTAAAAAAGCAGAAGTCAATGAATTAAGGAATTTAATAGAATTTTTGTTTCATTTTAGTGATTATATTCTATTCCCTGTATTATCAGAGAGAGGCTATTACATTTTAATGAGCATGTCACTTTTTTAATTGTATAATACAGAAGTTTTGATTTAAAAACTCCATCAACAAAATAAATTGAGGATACAGAGACACAATTTACAGAAACTAATAAACAAATGATTGATAAACGTGAAAGAATGCTTAAATGCACTACTGATCAGGAAAATGCAACGTAAAATGAGATTTTGTTTTTATTCTTCATCTATGACAAAAACCAAAACTTATTATATCTATCATTGTAACATGTAGAGAAAGAGGTATACTTGTTCACTATTGGTGGAAGTGCATTCTGATTCAATCATTCAAAAAGAAACTTTGGTGTTACTTGTAAATATAAAATACACATGTTCACTGACCCACCAAATGTGAAGGAATTTCACCTACAGAAATATATACACACATAAACACATGATTAAAGATATTCACCAGTACTACAGTGGTTAAACTATAAGTAACCCAATATTCATGTATATAAATATAATGGAATAATAGGGAGTTAATAATACAGTAAATCTGTATGCCACAGAAAGACCTAAGATCTTTCATTAAGTGGGAAAAAAAAGTCGTAGAAAAATAAGATCTTTATTAGAGCATACAAACATGAGAAGGGAAGGAAAGGGACTTTACAGATGGGAATGGGGTGAAGAACTTCTATTTTCCACTTTTAAATCATGCTTCTTATTTATACAATAAATGCATCTTGTATGGTTCTTCCAACATATTGGAGAAAGTAAAATGTCAAAGTTCAGTTTTAAAAACAACCTTGAATTCATTTATGTACTACACATTCCCTTCTCTACATTATAAATGAGTAAACCAGTTAATTTTAGTAAAGTACCTTCAGTAATTTTACTGCACAAATTAAGTTGTCATCCATTGGATTAGAGAAGAGGGCATTCAGCAATTCTCGTAGACCAACCTGAAGGATATCTGCTCTTGTAACCTGTCCATTTGTTCCCTTGATCTTTCAGGACAAAAATAAAATTAAAAAAGCAACAATGCCCAAATATAATAGAAAACATAAATGGTCTAACAATTACATGTTGGCAAAATAAGTCTCTTAAATACAATAATCAGAGGAACACACTCTAGTTGTCTCCACAGAATTCATTATAATTACTCTATATGTAAATAAGACCTCTATATATAAAATTGAAAAACAGGTAAATTTTAATCCTGTTAATCACAAATATGACCAAGAAAATTTGATGTTACTGATTATACAGCATGCTTTCATTTAAGCTACAAACTTATCGATCACAAAACTTTTTTTTTTTAATTATATTTTAGTTGTAGTTGGACAAAATGCCTTTATTTTATTTATTTTTATGTAGTGCTGAGGATCGAACCCAGGGCCTCGCACATTCTAGGCGAGCACTCTACCACTGAGCCACAACCCCAGCCCTCACAAAACATTTTATTCCACTTCTTTATTCTGTTCTAGAATACTGTTTTGCATTAGCAGTATACATATCCATCTCATCTACTACAAAAATTTTAGATGCAGGTACTATGCCATATCTATACTCCCCACAGAATTAGCATCATTATTTCCACATAGGAAATGCTCAAAGGTATACTTAAAAAAGACTTGTAAGGAACATTTTAAACAGGTTCTCTTATTTTGGCTCATATAAAAATCAGACTGAGGGCTGGGATTGTGGCTCAGTTGTAGAGTGCTTGCCTAGCACGTGGTGAGGCCCTGGGTTTGGTCCTCAGCACCACATAAAAATAAATAAATAAAATAAAGATATTGTGTTCAACTACAACTAAAAAATAAAATATTTTTTAAAAATCAGGCTGAAAAAGAGTAAGGTATGAGATTTTTTAAAAAATTAAATCCTCCTTTGGTTAAAAAAAATGATAATAATAAATTAGGGACTGGACAGAGACTTTTAGATATCCTGAAGGAGATACACATTTGATAGCAGATTCATTTGTCTACTTATGTTTAAAATATTATGGTGTTTGCATTAAACTCTCAAATAAGGATTTAAGAATCTCTAAACCTGTTTCTTGGATTCAATTAAAAAATAAATCCAGACGGGTGCGGTAATGCACACCTATAATCCCAGTGGCTCACAAGACTGAAGCAGGAGGATGGAGAGTTCAAAGACAGCCTCAGCAAAAGTGAGGTGCTAAGCAACTCGGTGAAACACTGACTCTAAAGAAAATATAAAATAGGGCTAGAGATGTGGCTCAGGGGTTGAGTGCCCCTGAATTCAATCCCTGATACCCCAAAATAAATAAACAAATAAATCCATTACATAGCAAGATTCAACATTTGTCTACTAACAAGCATATCACCTAAATTTACAAAATTGTTCAATTATAGGCTTTGTACAAATGCAATTTTTTTTGGCACTGGAAATTGAACCCAGAACAGTTATAATTACTCTATATGTAACACAACCCCAGCCCCTCATTTCACTTTTGATGAGCCACATCCCCAGCCCTTTTTATTTTTTTGATAGGGTCTCAAATTGCTAAACTGCTTAGGATCCAAGTTTTCTGAGGCTAACCTCGAACTTATGATACTCCTGTCTCAGCTTCCCAAGTTGCTGGGATTATACGCATGCACCACCACACCTGGCTATAACTGCATTTTTATATGGAAGAGAATATAAAAACGGGGGAAAATACTATTCTTGGGGCTGGGGACTGAGGAGATACTGATCAAATGGCACAAAATTTCAGTTACAAAGAAAGAGTTCAAGAGATCTGTCCTACAACATAGTAACTAATTTAACAATATATCATACTTAAAAACTGCTAAGAGTAGATTTGAAATGTTCTTACTGTAAGAAAGATACACAATTCATGTTAAATAGCTTGATTTAGTCACTCTCCAATGTTTATATATACACATCAAAATATGTTATATACCATAAATATTTAATCTTTACTTAAAAACTTAAGAAAAATTTAAAAAAGAACTACTGTGGGTGAATCAGGGTGAAAAGTATAAATTCTCTCCTCTTCAATCAAAGCTTTGTGTTCAGGGTTGGGGATGTGGTTCAGTGGTAAAATGTCTGCCTGGTATGCACAAGGCTCTGGGTTGATCACCAGTACCACACACACACACACAAAAAGGTATTGAAGTTTGGTGTTCTGCTGAGTAAGCTGCTTTGAGCTGTGTAAAGTAAACACACTAAGCATATTAGTATTTATGATGCAAGGACTCTCAGGTATGACCCTCTCTCAAAAGTCCAAGCACACATGTAAACAACTACAGCTTCCTAAAAATACAAAAGGACTTAAAAGCTCAGTAATTATTTTCCAACATCCTGCCCATAAGAAACAAATATTACAGTTGCTCCTTTAAAATACAGACATTGGGCTGGGGTTGTGGCTCAGTGGTATAGAGCACTTGCCTCGCCCTGGGTTCGATCCTCAACACCACATAAAAAATAAGTAAATAAAGGTACTGTGTCTATCTACAACTAAAAATATTTTAAAATAAAATACAGACATTACCATTGAGTAGGCACTGAAACGATTTGCTTTCCCACTCCCTCCTTTCATTTCACTTTTTAATATTTATTTTTATGTGGTGCTGAGGAACAAACCCAGCACCCATGCACGTGCTAGGCGAGCACTCTACCACTGAGCCACAATCTCAGCCCCTCATTTCACTTTGGATATTGTAAAAGTACAATATGAACAAAAAATTCTTATTGAGATCAATTTATATTTTCAGGTCTTATTAACACTTAAAAAAAAAAAATCATCTCACCTCCAAGTTAAGATAAAGTTCTCCCAGAAAGAGTACAAATGCATGAAATCGTTTTCGAGTCACTTCATCTCCTTTTGCAGCTTGATCTTTAACTTCATATTCAGTCCGACATCTAACAGAGACATATCTTTAATAATCTCACATTGTTTTGTCTTTTTAAGTAGCCAAACAAGATGACCATTGTTAGTTTGGTTGTCCACAACAACAGAGGCAAGCACAATGACCCAATGCCCTGATTTTCTCTAAAAGTGTTCCCTTCTATTGTAAGGACATTTATCTTTTCAGACTAAGCCTCTCCCAGTTTTAAAAAATTACAAATAAAACTATCAGATAAATTTTTTGTCTGTTTTGTTTTTGTTTTTGTTTTGGGAGGGGGAAGAGTACTGGAAATTGAACCCAGGGGCACTTTGCCATGGAGCTACATACCCAATTCTTTTTACCTATTTTTGAGATAGGGTCTAAGTTTCTGAAGCTGGCTTCAAATTTTCAATCATCCTGCCTCAGCCTTCTGAGTTGCTATGGTTACAGGTATGTGCCATCATACCTGGCAGTTTGTAATACGTTTAAGCACTATAGGTTCCATAAGGTTCAGAGCATACTGGTGCCAAAAGGGGAAAGGGAAGCCTCATCTTATGTCTCATGGGGCTTACTGTTAAGAAAGCACTACTTTTATTTAAACTGTCTCAAGTTTTCTACTTTTTTGAATATAAGAACTTTGTAGTGGATCTTTCAAAACACAGATGGACTCTAAGCTAAAAAAAATGAATTTTTAAGTTCACTATTTATTATTATTTTTTTTACTTCCCATTATACACAGAGAAATATTCTAGGAAGAAAAACCTCTTCGGTTGAAATCACAAAATACAAAGCAATCTGTTTGGTCTTTATTTTCAATGGAAAATGAAGGTGTCAAATAGCCTTACACAGGTAACAAAAAGTACTGTTCCTGGAGCTTTTCATCCAGTTCCCACAGGCATCTAATTGGTCATGGTAAGCCTGTCACTGCTTTTCCAAGTGAATGAATACTAGTTATTGATACTAAAATGAACTGGATTTTTAAAAGTTTACCACTGTTAAAGACATAAGCCATTTGTTTTATAAAACTGATTTTGACAGCTGTTCTTTTACTGAAAAGGGAGACTGAATGGCTTTCATATAGTCAATTTATGTTTGCCTCCCCTTCCCCTGCTTTATTGAGCGGGGGCGGGGGGGGATACTGGGGATTGAACTCAGGGGCACTCAGCCACTGAGTCACATCCCCAGCCCTATTTTGTATTTTATTTAGAGACAGGGTCTCACTGAGCTGCTTAGCGCCTCACTGTTGCTGAGGCTGGCTTTGTACTGGAGATCATCCTGTCTTAGCCTCCTAAGGCGCACCTGGCCTCCCCGACTTTTTTTTTTTTTTTTAAAGCAAAGTCAAAGAAATCCTGTCTTGCTTGGGCATATAAGCTATGCTAGGTTCACACTGTGATCAATTCCAATGCTTACAAACTATTATTAATTGAGCAGTATCTTCTGTTTTAGCCAAATATTTTAAAATATTAGCTTCTCTCATACACTAAATTCCTCATTGGAAAAGTCGGAATGCTTACAGATGAAATGCTCTGGTTAATAATAAAAAACAATTAATGCTAACAGTTTTCCAAGCACCATATTGGCTACTTTTTTGTGTATTACAACTTTGTAATGAGTTTTGAAGAAACCAACTTTTTCTTTTGTAAAATGCTAAGACCATGAGATTGTACATTAGGACATGCTGATATATGTGCAAAAGCAAATTAAATCCCTGTCCCTGGTACAAGGTCAATTATTAGGTGAAAGTCCCTAAGCTGCTTAAAGCTAAATATTTTTTATTATAAAAGCAATGTTTTTATTTCAGAAAGGTAAAAATGGAAAAAGACCAAAGTTGCCCCCAATATCACAGCAACCAAGAGGTTGGTGGTAAAGCTACCTTCACTCTGACAAAGTATGTACAAAAGTGAAGAATCATCCACTTGTATCATTATCGTTTCTACACAATATCACCTTTGACAGTATTATAATACTGTAGAAGTGCACAGTCAAAGAAAACCAGAAAAATGGTTCTCAATAACAGCTATATAGTAGAACCACTTAGCTTAGAAAGAAAGAGGGGGGCAGGGGAGAAAGACCAAAACACCAGTTTCCACCTCAGTCTAATTATACCCTGTACTCCAGAGGAGAGGTCAGGGTCTCGGGTCTATTTACATGTCTGGGTAACTGAAAGGTACAGCCAGGAGTGAAGAGCTCTGAGGAATATGATGAGGGAAGCTTTCTAGCATCCTACCTCTTGGGAAGAACCTTCTTTCTATCTGTCCAGAAGCTATAATTTGCATTTCTTTAAACATGGTTATATTTTTTTTCTATAACTTTGTCATTTATATTTTTCTGAACTGTACCCATCCAGAACCATTCCAAATATTTCAATTTTTTTAAGATACTAATCTTTTTCTTTTTCTTAAGGTCTTGTAATATCAAATAAATGAGCCTACTGTCATGTGTTGTAAGTTTCCTATTTTTACTTCATATAAATTAATGCTTTCCCCCCTGTAACAATTTATATGTAACTAAATTTATTAATCTGTTTTAGGACCTATGGTTACATCTTACTTGAAAGAGCTTTCCTACCCCAAGATTTTTAATTGTCAAATGTTCCCCTTAGTATTTACTGTTGTACTTTGAGTCTTTGATGTATTTGGAATTTAATTTGGTGTAGGGAATAAGACAGAAACCCATTTTTTTTTTCTCCTGAATGGCTATCTAGTTGGGCTACCAGCAATTCATCTTTTACATATGCACTTGAAGTATTGCCTTCATCAAAAGCTTAATTTTTAATTATCTCTGAGGTCTACTTTCAGAATTTTTTGTTGTTGGTACTGGGGATTGATCCCCGGGCAATTTACCATTGCCTGCCCTTTTTATTTTCTGAGACAAGAGGCCTCTCAAATCACAGGATTACAGGCATGACCACCCCATCCAGCCACTTTTAGAACCTTTATTCAGTCCCACTGCAGTTTAACCATACATTTAGAAAGCTGTGTTTTGTTTTTTGGTGATCGATATTGAACCCAGAGACCCGTGCTAAACTCATGTTCTACCACTGAGCTACATACTAAGTCCCATTAAATTATCTTTAAAGAAAGAATGAACCAAAGTATAATATACTTGAAGACCATCTGCTATTAAAGACTTCTGAAATAAGAAAATTAATTTTACCTATATTAGTTTATTAATTCAATACCATCCCCCAAATATAACAAATACCCACAAGGGTTTTATAATCCAAACACTGATTCTAAAGTTCTCTAGAGGAAACAAATATTAGATACTACAAAAATGGAAAACTAACTAAACCAGGTATTTAAAATATGAAGAGCCATTTTATAGCTATTGTATGGTAATTAGAAGGAACAGAATAAGTGATAAATGAAATATAATAAAAGTCTTAATTCAAAACCCATACTTAAAAATGTAGTGTGATGAAGGTGGCAACTCAAATAAACCACGGGAAAAAAAATGAATTGGTCACTTTATTCTAATTTAAATAAAATCAGATCCTTTCTCAAACCAAAACTATGAAAGTACTCAAACACATAAGTGATCATTTTTAAGATCTTGGAAAACAAGCCCAATCTAAATACAAAACCAATGGCAGAGATCATTATGGGTGGGAAAATGATATATTAGACCATAGCTTTTAATATTATGCAAATAAGAATGGTCCACCCTATTTTCCCTTGCAACTTTCTATAATGTATGATCTTTAGCAAAGAGGCTACCTTTAAATTTTTAATTTAAATCTAGCACATTTAAAGTAGTTTTCCTTTAATTTCATATCACACTGACCTTTGAAGTAGTAATTGGCGGAAGTTGCCACTCTGTGGGCTTATCGTCAGATGATGGGACAGGTAATTACACAGGCGAGCTCCCATATAAGAGAAATTTGGGATAGACGTAGCCTTTTAAAAAGAAAGGTTTTGTGTGACAGAGATACACTGCTATTAATGCAAACACTAAGCAATGTTTTAAAGAAGACAAAACATTTGGGCTCACAAAAATAACCATATAATACGGAAAACAGGTAAGTTTTTTGTCAGGCATAAGGAAATTAAGTTTACTCTCCCTCCCAAACTTAACATCAAGAATCACAAGTACAAAAACAAATGTTTTAGGTAAGTTCACCCCACCACCTCCATTTATATAAGGTTACCAGAAAGCAATGAGCCATCTCTTGGTGCTAGTACGTTTTTGCAGAAAACAGACATGTATGCAACACCATGGTTGCATAGTTGCAAAATTATAGACCTGTGGTGTTTCTCGGGGACAGGACAGGAGACTTTGGTGGATAGCAGTACAGAACAAAAGTCCAAAGCCTTCTGCTTTATGACCCTACATATCACTAAAACTGTCCGAGTTTTAGTTTGATTCCTAAAGAGAGGTGATTAATAGTAACTAGTACAAGAAACTAAGAGTTAAAGAATATTTCAAAAATGATTGGGGTAAAGCGGAAATCAAAACAGCTAAGCTACAAAAGAAAAAAATGAAAAAACACTAAATATCAAAGATTGTGAGGTAGCCAAAGCAGCACTCATTTAATTGCAGTTTTAAAAAATACAATAGAAAACATAGTTTACCACCTAATGGTAGGTTAAACACACACACACACACACACACACACACACACAAATGTTATGAGACATGGCCAAGTTCAAAAGGTTATCAACCAGGGATTTCAGATCTAGCAAATGGACGGATGGTCCTCCAAACTTCTGTGGTAACCTTGGACAAGTCTTAACTTCTCTGCTTAGATATGCATACAGTGAGGATAAGAGTGATAACTTACAACCACTGAGAATTAAATGGATTAATTTCATGTGAAGTGTTTAGCACTGCCTGGCATATAATAATTATAAAGCACTCTTTTTATTTCTATTTCCTTGCTTACATGTAATCATGTACATATCACAAAGGAGAAAAATGATTTCTCCTGATATATGTTTAACAAAAGACTTGAAATTCAAACTTTTCCTATTTGTGTTTTCTTTAGTGTCTTCTTAAAAGTCATCACATATGATTTAAAGACTTTAAATTCTAAAAGGCTACTTCCTCATCTGTACCCCATTAACTCCTATAGACAACTGCTTTCAATTCTTTCAACTGAAAAAGTTTTAACTTCTGTATTTCCATGTTATTTGGTTTTTTAGTTTAGGTTTTATTTCTTACTAGTTTCCCACCATGTAAGATGAGCTTTTAGCTTTCACCCTGCTCAAACCACCCCATTCTATTATTTCCTAATCCCTTCACTTAGCAGTAAGGCATTATCATGATTTTTGTTATATTTGCACTTACAGCTTAACCATGTATCACATTAGTATTTCCTTTTTTGCGGAATTTTGTTTTCCCTAGATTCACTTTTTTGTTTTTTATATTTTTTATTGATTTATCTCTAAATTCACCAGGTTATAATTTTATTCTCAATATCACTGAACACAGCAGGTGGGCTCATCTTGCTAGGGAAATCTTTCCTGTGGTCTTCCAAACTACTTGGCTGCATGAAACCTGATGTACATGTGGCTGTTGTCTTGGACTCTCCTTTCAACATCATCTGGATAATTCACTTAGCCTACCCACAGAATTCCCCAATCCCCAATTGTCATGTCTTCACCTTTTGTTTAATTCCTTTTTTGGTGGAATGCCTCCCTCTGTTAACTTCTAAAGAAGTGTTAGAATGAAACTTCAAAATGGCTACCAGGTAGAAAAAGATTAGGAAGTCTAATTTTTCAAGACGCTCATACTTTTTAGCCTCATTCCAACATTTTCTTAGTCTTTTAGAGATCCTGCACAGTAAACTGGGGTGATCCTCAACTGGTTTGGAAATCAATGTTAGATCTACCAGGTCGATTAACACTCACCCATCCACTGGGCTTTTATCTACTTTCCTTTTTTATCCTAATGGGTCTCTGTTTTTTTATAAAACTGTCATTTTAATGGTGTTTGCAGAGGAATAAAAGTTGAATGTCTATGTTTAATATACCATTTTTGATAAGGTCATCTACTGTTAGTTGGGATGAATGAATTTTCATAAATTACCTCAGTAAAACGTAAAAGCTACTGGAAAAATCTGTATCAGGTCAATATACCACTGACCACAAAATGTTAAAACTTCAAATTATACTATTTGAAGATTTGGTTTTGAGACAATCAAACAAACAGTTGAAGCTTGTCAGACAGCCGCTCTATTCAGGCCTGAGGAACTATAATTATGCAGTCTACGGAATAGCTGAAATTCAGTAGGGAAATAAGAAAAGCAAAAAGTAGTATTTTTGTTCTCATATTTCATATTCTTATCTCTTAATTCTTTTCAATCCATTTAGAAGCAGAAATAATGAATCAGATTCCCTAACTCTCAGACACTTCTTAAAAGCTAACAGTTGACTACTAAATAATCTTATGGTCCAATAACAGTCTATAACTTGGAAAAGTAGCCAAACATTATTAGGTAGGATATAATCATCGGCTTGCTTTTATGACCACTCTTCCATACATTCCAAAATTTAGTTGCTCTTTTGGCAATAATTTTAAAGACAAAATAAAATTTATATTTCTTTTCAAGCCCTACTGTTTGGGGTCAGTCTCACACTGATCACAGACACTGTTGTCTTAAAAAGGCAGTGTTCTCTACTGCATCTTTTACCCTTAAAAAAATATTATGTGTCAATGACCAAGATGCTAAGATGAAAATTGAACACTGTGTAACAAAACAAAACAAAAAAGCCAACTGATAGGACTTTCTAGGAATTAAGGAACTGAGATGTAAATTCTTAAATTTAAAAGTAGAAACATTAAAACTGAAGAGAAGACCATTTTCAGTCTGGCTTTTTGCAAGAGATGCTTATGAGGCAAGAAAAGTTCCCTCTAACATTTCCCCCCTTCTACAATAATGCTACACTTAGGAAAAAAAAAAATACATCTTTTTGTGTTAAGTTTCAGATCCTACAAAACAAGAGTGGTGTGGGGAAGGTGATACTTATGTTGTCTTCCTCCTAAGTGCCCAAATCTTGTTCTACATACTACTTGTATGTATAGACCCTTTGTTACAGCTATGAATGTTGCCTGTATAGAGCTGTGGCTACCCAGGTGAGTTAGCAATCCAGCCTGGCTCTAGTGTTGGATCTCTAACTATAGGAATTCTATACAAGATAGACTTCAAAAGTTTCCAAGAACCAGCAAATGTGGAGTCAAGTATACTTGAACCTAGTTTCTCTTAAGGAGTAGCCATTATCCTTGGGCTTGAAGGAAACTACCTGGTGGTCACCCTGTGGCCATCAGCAAACCTACCTGTTGGTAGATGAGTTCCACAAGTTCTTGCAAAGCATCATCTGTTGTAACCCAGCCATTCAGGGTCTCTGCAAACTGTTCAATTTCTGTTTCAAAACTGCCAGGCTGTTCTGTAAGATGATTCAAAAAATCCTGAACATATTCTGATAGAGTGGGATAATCCTCACAACCATCCTCGTAGGATTCCTACAAACCAAAATTAAAAAACACAAAACCAACACTTTAATCCCTGTAACTAAAACAAGTATGCAATGGCTTTGAGTTGGGGTATCTCTAGCATGGATTTTTGGTAAACATCCCTCATCTGATTAAAAAAAAAAATAGTTGTATTCTTAAGTCCACTGGGCTATCCTTCTTCTTTGCCTAACTTAAGTATTTTAACAATAGAAGGGCTCCATTTAGCTGGACAGGGAACCATCTTTTCTATCTTGGTAGGTTTACAAGATGGTTGACAAAGTTTGAACGAATTTCACTACAACAGCAATATAAAAATAAAGTCTATTTACCAATGAAATAAAAGTTTAGAATTTGCTTGAAAATAAGAGGAAAAGGATGGACCAGGGATATAGAAACATATGTAGCTTACTATTAAGGCCATGGAGATTCATTATACTATTTTCTATATTCTTGTAGATGTTTGATCGTATCTATATTGAAAAGAAAAAACCTAGTAAGGTTTGCACCTATCTATTAATCCCCAAAGACAGGAAAGTGCACATAGCTAGCTTGAGTAAGTACAAGTTTCATCATGATATAAATGGCAGGAAACTTTTTGGCTGCTACAGCTAGGTTTCTAACTGATTTTGATATAGCAATAGTTTCCAGCTAAAATTTCCACCACTTGGAATACCACTTTGGAAGTTGCCAACATCATAATTAATGGCCGTAGGGCTGAGCAGGTGAGTTCTATAAAAGTTATCAGGCCAGAATATTCCCACTCTCAATGCCTGGAATATCCTCCAAAGCATTTTAAAGTTTACTTAACAGTTATAGTCAAATAATATTCCTTAATGAAATTCTTCTCTAGAAACTCAAATTAGAAACTATATGAAAAAAGATACAAAATACAGTACCTTTATAAAGGGGATTAAGTTTTAAAGTTAGTGCATACATTAAAAAAACACACCCACACATGGTCAAAAATGCCCTAAGAAAAGCTCTACAGTGGAAAGATAGACTTAGTAAAGAGACTAACAGCTTTTCAATGCTTTTACAAAGATAAGTAAGGGATTTGCATGCAGTATCTGATTTAACCCTAGAAAATCAATAAGCGTTACTATTCCTGCACAGAAGAAACAGGTGTCAGTTAAGTCTCTTTGGTTATTCATTCATTCAAAACTGTGTGAGATTGAGAACCTACTAAGTGCCAAGGACTATTTTAAGAGCTGGGAATATGGCCATGACATAATGTCTCCCATCAATAAAAGCACACAAATCCCTCCTCCCATGATGTAAAACACATTCAGAAGCTGAAAAATATGGCCAGGCATTTAAACTGGGGGGGGAAATCAATCACACCAAATATCAGGAAAGACACCCTAAAGTGGCCACAGTAAGCATACGGGCACCAAAGAGGTGGTACTTGGCATGATATCTTTGAGAAATAGAGAGAATGGCTAAAACACAGACACCACTAAAGAGACTGAATCTAAAGACCATGCGAAAAACAGGGGAAGTTGGGAGGGCTTGAGTGAGGTAGAGCCACATACCAACAATAAATTTGTGTATGGTCACAGTGCTAGTTAGAAGTACAAAACCTACACTTTTATTCTCTATACCACACTAAAAAATAACAAAGTCTTGGGCTGGGGCTGTAGTTCAGTGGCAGAGCACTTGTCTCGCATATGTGAGGCACTGGGTTCAATCATCAGCACCACATAAAAAAAATAAAATAAAGACATGCTGTCCATCTACAACTACAAAAAAATTTTTTTTAAATAATAAAGTCTTAAAACCCACTTTTTCACATTATTTGGAAGGATGTTCATTGCTAAGAAATCCATCTAACAATCTATGAACAAGAAATTGGTCAACTACTTAAATATATCCATATAATGGACTATTATAAAACCATTTAAGAAAACAATATATACTTAAATGTATCAACATAGGAATATCTTCAAGATAGCATGTTAAATGAAAAGCAAGAATCCAATCATATTTCAGTGTAACTTTCTTTCTTTTAAGATTTGTATAGGCAGAGAATTTCTGAGAAGGAAAAAAAAACAATAATACTTAACTCTAGAGTGAAGAAATGTTCCCATTATAAATACTAAACTTTATATTATAAAGTAATGAAAGCAGTTAAGCACAAAAATGCACTAATATAGTTAATGGTAATTTTGTACAATGTGTGAACTTCATAAGTAAAAACTAGTTTAAGTTTCCATATACAGTAGTTTTACAGACTTATAGTATCTTATAATTATTAATGATAATGAAGAGAAAAAAGCAAGTCAAGTCGGCAGGTCCTAGCTAAAGCTACTAATTTTGTGTTTCTATAAAATGACATTCATTGGGGTTAATGCAGTTTAACATTGACTTTTATAAAGTCAACAAACTCTTTTAAGAAAATTTGAAGTCCAATAAGTAGAAGAAAAGTAGAGTTGCTCTGAATATAACAGAGGATTGGATCCAAAACCTGCCACTGTAAGCAAAAAAAAAAAAAAAAAAAAAAGAGACACATTATTCTGAACAGATAGGCATTCCAACATGTTCAAAGCCTGCATTAGTTCTCTAGTACCAGATTTTTCAAAGCACACACTTCAGTCTTCAATATTGAGCCAAATGACTTTTAAGCTCAGGAATATTTTCGAGTTCTATTTTTCTTAGAATTTTATGGAAGATATCAGGAGGGACATCAATTAGAAAATGCACCTTTCATGGTATGCCCTTGGTATGCACTGTCAAGAGAAGAGACCATAATCCAAGACAGTGAGATGGTGAACTAGTCAAGACTATTTAGGTTAGCTCGATTGAACTGGAGCAAGAGTGAGGGAAAGAGGTGAGTTAATACACCATCAAGTTTTTTGGCCTCAGCTAGTTAGAAAGATCTGCAAAAGATTAACAGTTAATTATACTTGAGTTTGAATGTGAAATCCTCATGAAGTCAAACAATTGGAAACAAGTCTAGAGTTCAGATGAAGAATTTGATTTTAAGATTATTAGCATATAGAAAGATGATGGTCATACTCTAAGGACAGGCAGGATTTGTAAGAGAAATAATAAAATGCCAAAATGACAGGACCTCCAAGACTGCTATCTGAGGGAGAAGTTGGGGGGAACTGCCACAGAAATCAAAGGAGGAGGTAAGTGAGGAATGGTGATGCTTGTAACATTAAATGCTACTGAATAAATTTGTAGTTTGAAATCTGTGAGAGAATAATAGTTGAAATATCTTGGGAATGAAAAGTCACACCCCACCCCACACACACACCAAAAAAACAAACAAACAAAAAAAGCCCACCCAGAAAATAGTACCTTAAATATTTAGTTTTTATAACATTAAAAAGGAACTTTTGAAAGACTAGTTTAAAAAGAAAAAAAACACTGAAACCTAGCACAGGACCTGGCACACTGGGAATTTTATACTGAACAGATCATACTGTGTTCATGGGTCTTATTGTATTCAAGGTCTAAGATGAGGATTAAAATGACAATTGACAAAAAAAAAAAAAATCAGAAGAGCATCATTAACTGTTGCAAAAAATAGTAGCAATATACCTAGAAAGATCAGATTGCAGATGTTTGCAGTCAGTGAGAAGTACAGTAGTGTCTAGAGTGAGTACTTCTAGAAAATGTTACTAAAAGATAGAGGAGAAAGGTGGACAGTAGCTTGAAGATGCCTGCCCTTAAAGAAAAAAAAAAAAGAGAGAGAGAGAGAGAGGGAAACGTAAATGCTTTATGAATTCCCATGGGGAATTTCGGGCACTGGTTAGTAAATCATGATCAAATATACAAGGCATACTGGTTTGAGAAGAAGCAACAACCAGGAATAGATGGATACAGCAACTCAATGTGATAGAATAATAGGAAATTCTAGTAGGAGGATCAGAAGGACGACTAAAGAAACCAGTTAGGAAAACTTAAAAAACACAGCAAACAAATACCATAAAGTCTGTTAGAAAAAGAATGTACTCTTAAGAGAGACCTAGCTAGGAATACTAGACAACACATTTTCATGAATACGACAAACAGACTCAAGAACTTTCTAGAAACTGAGGCAGACCACTAGAAAAGAGGCTCTGGGAAGACTGGAATTTTTATCTGTTTTGTTTGCTGCTGTATAGGCAGTGCTTGACTCGTAAGTATTTAACTACTTGAATAAGTGATCGAATGTAGCTACATTTGAATTATATAAGGAAAACCTTCCCTCACAACAAGATCTTAACCTAACAGTCACGGGGGAAAACAAGGATTCTGGTGTGACAAATAAATTGAGGAATACTTTTAGCTTTAACCAAAGGTAGTCATTAGAGTAAATCTGTAAGGCTAGAGAATATACCAGAGCAAGGTAGCAAGCCCAAAGTCTATGGAATCTGCATGGGTTAAAAATTAATGAAGCAAGCCCGGAGCCATGGAACCTGCCTGTAATCCCAACTGCTTGGGAGGCTGAGGCAGGAGGCTCAAGAGTTCAAAACCAGCCTCAGCAAAAGCGAGTCACTAAGCATAAGCAACTCAGTGAGGCCTATCTCTAAATAAAATACAAAATAGGGGTGGGGATGTGGCTCAGTGGTCAAGTACACTTGTGCTCAATCCCCAATAACCCCACCCCCCCAAAAAAAATAGAAAAAGAAACAAATGAAGTAAGCCAGGAAGCAAATTATGCCTCTATTCTGGTACAGCCAATTTTTGCTCTATCAGAATGCTAGTTGTCTTTGTGGCCAGATCTTATGATTTCAAAAGAAATCAGAAAAATTCAAATCTGAAACAGCTAATTTAAATATGAAGAACTAATTAAAACAACTTTCAAATTTTTTTTTTTTTTTTTTAAATCACACACCAAGGGCCAAAGAAGATACACCTGTAGACTAACAGTCTTCCAGTTCACAACATGTTCTGGTAAACTGAGCATAGAAGGTGCTTATCTACTAAGGAAATAGCAAAGAATACCTAAAAGATGACAGTGACTCAAGATAAGTGGACTAACATAATACTCTGCTCTACAGCCCAGGAGTCATTTGAACTATGTATAGTATTGTGAAAAAAATCGTTCCTCGGGCTGGAGTTGTGGCTCAGCTATAGAGCACTTGCCTAACAAGTGTGAGGCCCCAGTTCAATCCTCAGAACGACATAAAAATAAATAAAATAAAGGTATTAAAAACAAAACAAAACCTTTCCCTTCCATATCATAAAACAGTCCAAGTCAATATGGAAGAAAACAAATGGGGAACTGTTTGAGTGGCTACTAGAAGAAAAATATCCTTAAGAGTCTATTCAACTACTCAACAATTCCCCCATCATTCTTTTATTCTCTGAGCTAAATACAACTTTCTTGCAAGAACCCTAGCTGTTCTCATTTCTATTTTACATAACAGATGGCTCTTTTAACCCCAAATCAATTGTTTTTCCTTTTACGCCTACAATTTCTCCTAATTCCAAAGGCTTTCCTATACAGTGTAAGAGTTTCTATGAAGTACACCTGTTCCCATTAATAACAGTCAAAAGAAAAAAGGTTACAAAAGAGATGTGCCATCATTAGTTATAAGAAAAATACACACTAAAACCACAACTAGATACTACATACTTATCAGAATGGCTCAACAGAAAATACCAAGTGCTGACCAAAAGTGGAGCAACTAGAAATCATGCTGCTCATTGTACAGTGAAATGAATGGTTTTCTTTGGAAAACCATTTGTCAGTCTCCACTAAAGCTGGCTACTCTAAGTCCTAGCAGTTCTACTCCTTGGTATATACTAAGCAAAATAAAGGCAAACCACCACCAGAACACAGACAGTAATAGCAATCCTATTTATGAATAGGATTAGCCCCAAAGTAGAAGAATGTCCATCAACAGACAAATGGAACCTCCATATGGTCATGCAATAGAATTCTGAGAATCACTTCAAATTATAACATGATTTGGGGTTGAGGTTGTGGCTCAGCAGTAGAGCGCTCACCTCGCACGTGCGAGGTCCTGGGTTTGATCCTCAGCACCACATAAAAATAAATAAATAAAATAAAGGTATTGGGTCCAACTACCACTAAAAAATAAAATAAAAAAATTATAGCATGATTTAATTCTAGTGTAGATGGAAAGTAAAAAGCAATATATTCTGTACATCCTTATTTATATAAACTTTGAAAATAGGCAAAACTATTTAAAGTCAAAATAATAAAGTTTTTAGGATGTTGATAACATTCCATTTCTTGACTAGGAAACTAGTTAAGGTTGTGAAGCTTTGATATGATCCATGTATCCCTTATATTATACTTCAATAAAACTAAAGTATTATCAATCATATTTTCCATGATTCCCTCCCCCACTTTCCTACAATCAACCCCTGTGCATTTACTCATCTGGGCTTACCTAGCACAACAAATTCCTTTCTACATATCCCAACTATGCTTTGTGCTGCTAAGAAAAATATGACCCACTTTAAGAATTGTTATATTGTTGGGGCTGGGGTTGGGGCTCAGTGATATAGTGCTTGCCTCAAATGTTTACTGGGTTTGATCCTCAGCACCATATAAAAACAAAATAAAGGTATTGTGTCCATCTACAACTAAAAAAAAGAATTGTTATACTGCTGACAATATAAAACTGAAAGTTTAAAAGTTCTCCATACCTATGTAAACACTTTATCCACACCCCTTATAACATCTCTACATATGATAAGTAACTAGCACCAGAAATACTATTTTAACATATGGCCAAACAATTAGAAATAAGAGCCCAGATAAATATTTCTCAACATTCAACAGAACTACCTTATGATTAGTTTACAGCAAAACCAGTTTAATTTACCCTAAAGCTCCCAATGAATATTTACTTACCTTGTTATAAATCAAACTAAAAATCAGGCTTGCTTGGCCACTACCTAAGGCTGTTTCTAAAGTCTAGAAATAGGTTTTAGTTTTCAAATTGAAAATGTCCTTGATATAATGTTCATTAGTTTATGGATACTCCATAGATGCTGAGAGCAGTGAACCAGACAGACAAAAATTCCTACTCAAACTTACACTCTAATGCCTTGAAGGTAACTACAAAACATATTCTTGAACTAGTTATTCCCTCATGAAACGATTCATGAGTTCAATGAATTCATAACAAAATGTTTTATGTAGAGTTTAGAAAGCACTAGCATATTCTGATTAATGAAGTAATAATCACATTATTCCAGTAGTATTAACCCAGAGTTGTTAAGAACGGGTGTACTCACTGTATAATTAGAAGAATAACCTGATGGGTAAAATTCAGGGGCGTTCGCAGACAGTTTAGACATTAATACGGGAGCCACTACCACCTGGGGTTTAGCCATTGCTGACTCTGAGTTCTGCTGTGGGATTTTATCCTGTGAACTAGGTGGAGCTCTCAGGGGCCTTGTTTGTTCTGAGAAAGAAAAGGGGGGAAAAAACGGTGTTAGAAGCATTCATTCCTTTGTGTAACAACTTGGTACTGAAAAAAACCATCTGAGAAAGCACCAAGTTTTAAGAGTTAAATACAAAATTGAAGATGATCACCAAGATATGTACAGAGAGCCTGCAAAAAGGAACAATAGACTTGCTTTAGCTCATTTATAAACATACCTGCCTCCCAAATGAACGCTTGAGAGCTTTTCTTTTCCCCTCCCTCTTTTTCAAGGAGTTGGTTAAAAATGGGGGTGGTTGCTTGCCCCAGCCCCGCTTTCTAGGGCTGGGGAGGGGGAGGCGATTTTTACTTCCTCCCGGGACGCCAGAACTCGGAGATCGCGCACCCGGCCCCTCCCCCCAGCCAGGGCGCACAAAGGATTCCAGCAGCCACCTTCCAAACCCGGTTCTGGGCCCCTTCCTACCCCGTAACCAGCGGGCCCCTCCGGAAATGCTTTCGGGGAACCGGGGAACGGAGGACGTGACGCGCCGGGCCTCGGCACACACGGGGAGCCGTGGGGAAGCGTTGGCCCGGAAGACGGGGTCCCTAGAGCTGCTCCGTACCTGGGAGCACCCCGGGCCGAGGAGGCCGCTGGGAGCCTGCGGGGGCCTCGCTCTGGGCCCCTGGCGGCGGGGCCGTCCTGGGCTGGCGCAGCGGCGGCGGCTGCAGGAAGCCCGGGGCTTTGGGCTGCGGCGGCGGCTGGTGCCGTGACCGCTCCGCAGGCCCCGCTCCGTTCGGGAACCCGCCGCCCTCAGGCCCGCCCCCTCCGCGGCCCAGGCCCCGGCTCCGGCCCCGACCAGCACCTGGAGCCCGATCGAAACCGTCCGACATGCTCCTCCTCCTCCTCCGGGGGCCGCTGCGCTCCGGATAGGATGCGGGGGGAGGCGCCGCGGGCCGGCTCTCGCCGCTGCGCCTCACTCAGGCCTCATGGAAGAACTGGGCGGCGGGCCCCGCTCCTCCGCGCTTCGGGCGGAGCGGACCGCAGGCTGAGCCCCGGCCGAACCCGCCGCTTCACAGCACCCGCCCCCCTCGGCTGCCCTCTGCTCTAAGATTCTCCCCAAAACCCCAGCACCCCGCCCCCGGCGCGGCGGGGGCCAAGACGGGTCACAGCGGCCCCCCGCGGCCCGGAGGCCCTGGGCACGCCCGCCCGCCTGCCGCGGCTCCTCCTGTCGGCGGATGGCGGGCATCCACGGCCCAGCAGGCCGCCCGGCGGGCGGCGTCTCGACCACGGGCTGCCATGCCCGTGACCGGGCTCGGGCTCGGGCTCGGGCTCGGGCGTCGGCTCCCGGGGCCAGGCTGGGGGAAAGTGGGGAACGCTCACCCAGGCGGGCCGACAACTCGGTGGCTCTCAGGAGAGCAGTGCGAGACTGACGGTTGATACCAGGAAAATAAAAATACGGGGGGAGGGGGCGTGGACCCGGCGGCAGGGTTCGCGGAAGCGCACCTTGGTGGGCGCGCAGGTGTGCTCGATGGCCGGCTACAGTCGAGCCCGAGAACTGGTGGGGAAAGGGGTCCTAGAAGAAGCTCTACCACCTGCTCCGTTAGCTGCGGGGAGGGGAGCAAACACAATCAAACACGCCCTCCCCCTTGGATTAACTGTAGGTATGTATCCGAGTAGGTGACACCTACTGTGACCAAGCTTCGATCTATTCCCTTTTCCCTTACCCTTGAGAAATTTTAAGAATGCAGTATCTTCACTGTAAGAGCACTCTTTTTCATCTTCTACCAGTGCTGTCCAATAAAAATATGCAAGTCGCAAATGCTAAGCCACTTATGTAATTATAAATATTGTAGAAGCCACATTAAACAAGTAAAAAGAAACCAGTGAAATTAGTTTTAATGTAGTTTATTTAGCCCAATAGTCCAGAATGGTATCATTTCAGCATGTAATTAATGTAAAAATATGAATGAGATATTTTGCATGTTATTCAAAATTCAGTTTGCATTTTACACATAAGGCATATCTTATTTAGGATTAGACACATTCAGAGTGTTCAAGAGCCTCATGTGGCTAGTGACTACAGCACTTTGCACAACACAGTTCTAGTAATTATGTGTGAGTTATATTTGTCAGGTCTGATGGCACTATTGCCAGATGAAGAATAAATGCAAGAAAAGAAAAGGAGGAAAAACATTCACTGTTGGATTGAACCATCTCCACAAATTCTGACTTTAGTCCTGTGATTTAAGCAGAACTTAATTTTTAAAATGTTTTTCATGATCAGAATCATTTCAATTAGGGTCAGAAACTCTTTTTAACCATGTTCTCTTCTCACTTGTAAAACATTAATGTCTTCACCTAAATGAGAAGAATGGCTTTGATGAAGGCAAACCATGAATCAATGATTCATGTTGCATGTTAGATAAGATTACAATTTAAAAATTAAGTTAGGTGATGCTCTTAACATCTTAAAAACATGGTTGTATATGGCCATCAGTCCTTTCTTGTCTGGACTTCTGTATTATTACATAGAGAGGACCCATAAACTATACTCAAAAACTGAAAATTAGTTATCCTGGATGTTCCACTGAAGTAGATGTCCCAATTCTGTCCTAGGTTTTGGTTTGTACTCACACTGTTTTGTTTCCCCTCAAAACATTGATGGTAGGTAGCACCATTTCTCACATCCAGGACTTTCCTATGTGAGCATAAGAATATTTTGCATTTATGGGGGTGTCAGTGCATCTTTATATCCTCCTTTTGTTAAATAAATCAGATAATTCAGAGATATCCTTCTCCTCCTTATTTGTTATATGAACTTTTAGCCCTATTATAATGTGTGAAACTGGGACTTGGGGATAACACGAATGGATTTAGCATTGTGATGATAACAACTAGTATTTACTGAGTACTTCATTATGTGTCAGCCACTGTTTCAAGAGTTTTACCTTTATCATTTTATGTAATCCTCATACCCTGTGAAGCAGATATTCTAATATTTTTTTTTTTTTTTTTTTTTTTTTTTTTTTTTTACAGAAAAGGTATCAAGATATCACAAGGGCTCACATCCATCTCGGGACTGTTGTGCAACTGGCAGGTACTAGGTATTGCAGAATGGCAAGAGGCCACACATACACAGACACATGAAAATATGGGTGCCAGATGGGACTCCCTAAAGAGAATCATCAAAAACAGCTCCACATTCATACCTTTTTTATTAATTTATGGTGAAAGGAGTGTCTGAGGACTAACTTCAGAGAAGTTGGAAAATGTGTTGTAATACAGGAAAGGAACCTGCTGTGAAACACGACAAAGATGTATTTCCCTAAACTAGGCTTGAAAAACATTCTCCAGGAAGACTTCCTCAAGCTGCCTAATCTTAGATTCCTTCCCTTGTGCTAGTTGTACCCTTGGAAAACTCTATTTTGGCCACCTACCATGCCAGATTGTTAGTATTTGGTTTAACTGTCTTCTGTAATAAATCAGCTTTCTGAGGGCAGAATATACCTTTTTCATCTCTGTATCTTTAGGTCCTAGCCCAGTAATTGGTCCATCATAGGCTGTAATAACAGAACTCACTTCTCCTTGGTTTACCAGTATAGTGACAATAAAAAGACTGGTTTTCAAAATTTATTGACTTCAGTTTCATTATTGGACCTTATTGGAGTAGGCAATGCAGCCTTCAAGTCCAGCTAAAAGAAATTTTTCACAAACATGATGGAAGGAATATTTGCAAACCACATATGCAACAAAAGACATGTATCTAGAGTACATAAAGAACTCTGAAAACTTAACTGTAAAAGTACAATCCAGTTACAAAATGGGGAAAATATATTCATGGGTATTTCAATAAAGAGAATATACAAAGACATTTAAACTCATGAAAAAAATGTTCAATATAATTATCCATTAGATAAAATTAAAACCCAAAGACATTTCGTTACCTGCTTACCAGAATGGCTAAACTAAAAAATAATGCAAGACTGTAAGAATGCTTGTAAAGATAAAAAAATAGTTAAGAAAGTGAGTCATTTATATATTGCTGGTAGAAATATATAATGGTGTAGTCATGCTAGGAAACCGTTTGAGGATTTCTAAAACAAAAAAAAAACATAAGTATCATACAACTCAGCAAGTGCACTCCTAGGCATTTATCCCAGAGAAATGAAGATTTATGTTCACACAAAAACATTCATTCAAATGTTTATAGCACCTTTATTAATAATAGCCCCAAACTGGAAACAACCCAGATGTTCTTCAGTGAATGAATATGCTGTGGTACTTTCATTTTCACCTCCAAAATACTACTCAGCAAGAAAAAGGAACAACTATCAGTAGAACAACTTTGATCTCAAAGGAATTATGCAGAATGAAAAAAGTCAATCTCAAAAAAATATTGTTGTACAATACCAACTATATAGCCTTGAAATGACAAAATTATAAAGATGCAGAACAGGTTGCCATGATCAGAGAGGGGATGGGTTTTGGAGGGGAATAGATATGGTTATTAAAATAATAGGAATCCTTATGATTAAACTATTCTGTTCTTTTAATGTGATGGTGGTCACATAAATATGCACATGTGACAAAATTACATAGATCCTAAATATACATGCATAGGAGTGCATATAAGACTAAGGTAGGTGGATTTTGTTATTGTTGATTTCCTGGATGTGATAGTCATGCAAAATGTTACCACTGGGAGAAACTAGGTGAAGGGTGAACAAGATTTCTCTATCATCTCTTCCAAATACATGTAAATTTACAATTATCTTTAAATAAAAGGTTGGTAAATCTACTGCATATAAATAAAACTTATATCATTTTATTCTATCACTCCTAAAATCTCCCTAGCTAATTCAGTTCATTCCTCCCACTCAAATCATCATGGTAACTTACATACCATTATAAATGAGTGGAGGCATCATTAAGAGAGAAAAATTAGCTGATGTGTTTGTTCTTATGGTTCTCATTTGTGTAAATTATCTTCCTCTTTTAATTTCTTGAGCTTCTCATGAAATATAATCCCAGCTGGTTGGCACTTGAGACTCCCATCTGGAGCAGGGCTCCAAGCTATCACAGAGTCTCAGATAGCCAGGAATGCTGCTTGAGATGTCCCCAATACCTAGTGACACTTGTTTAACGTTGATCTCTCAGCTGAATTTTAAACTCTGTGAAGATAGGAGTCCATTCATTCAGATGTTCTCCATTCAGCAAATAATGATTGCATGTCTACTTTTATGCTGAGGATATGCAGGAGTGTGAGATTAGGTGAGATATGATACTGGAAGTGGGAAGGCTCATTTGGTGGCTGTTGCAGAAGTGCTGGGTAGAAATGATGATGTTACTAAATTGGTAGTGGAACTCCCCCAAATTCAGTAAATATTTAGGACGAACTTAACAGAATGTATGTGAAGGATTAACGAGAGGCCAGAGATAAGGCTGACTCCCAGAATTCTGGCTTGGTGCTTCAGCAGAAGTAGGATACCAGAAGAGAACAGGTTCAAGAAAACAGGAACTCTAATTCCACTTTGGACATTTCATTTGACACCTGGAGCATCCAAGCAGAATTGTTCAGTGGACAGTTAAGGTTATGATATTAGAGCTCAGAAGAGTCTTGCCTGCATTAGGAATTTGATGGCTAAAGCCACAGGAAGAAATGGGTGTCTTAGAAAAATTATATAGTGGCAGAAGGAAAGAGATAACACCAAATCTAATGACAGGCTTGAAGGACAGAAATCTGTTTTCTTTGTTTACATACAACTAAAACTGAGAAAAACCAGTAAAAAAAAAAAAACAACATAAAACACAAAAAGCTGAAAAGAGAGAGACAAATGTTGCAGAGGTATCAAATAATAGGATTCTAAAGAGTCCATGAAAGTGAACTCTTCCCTGAGATT